TTTTTTTTATTTCTATTTTACTTTTCCTCCTCTTTTTCTTTTCTTTGAAGCCATTCAGACCACGATTCAGGTTTGAGGGACGGGGAACCTGGAGGGATTTCCTGGTTGGTTCGTTGTTTAATGAAACCGGCTCTATAGCCAGCTCATGTCAATTAAGAAAATCAAAGACAACACCCTCCATATGGGTGGGGCAGGGGGCGTTTCCTTCCCAGGCTCCGACCCCTCTGAGACTTTCAAGTAGATCTCCAGGCTTTCTCCTGAGGTGCCTTTGAGCAGACTCAATTCTCCACCCTTTGGGTTCGCAGCCTTGTGAGTTAACCATCGACCACCCAGGGCCTCCCCCACCCTGACCCTGGTACAACCGGCAGCACTTCAAACGGTGAGACCCTGCTCCAGGTCCACCCACCGTCTCAACAGCCTCCTGTGGCGCAAAAGCGTCTGGGCCGTCAACTCGGGTAAGACACTATTGTCTGTCCTAGCTCTTTGGTTTCCTGACCTTGACACCTAGAGATTTGGTAGAATGCCCTCCCGAGTCTGGGTTTGCCTGACGAGTGTCCTCATGACCAGATTCCACCTATGCACCTCTGGCAGGAACATCACCTGGGTGCAAGCAAAGAGTCTGGGGGAGGTGGGAGACGTGAAGGACCCCTAGCCGCTGCCACTTCTTTGATTTCTAAGGCCGTGGCTGACTGCGCTGGGAGCGTCCAAAGATGGCAACATGGAAGAGACTCGGACCCAGCTAGTCTGGGTTGACAACTGGGGACTCATTTAGAATGCTCCCAGCATGCGGGGCCAGGAAGAAGCTCCACTTTGGAGAGGGGGCATGCCTGTATCGAGTGAGCTCTACTTACGTATTATATGTACTCCTTCACTCTCATGACTCATGGTGATGCTCAAACCCCATGTGGATATGTTTCTAAGGATCAAATGGTAAGCATCTTAGGCTTTGCCGGCTCTGTGGTGTGCTGCAATGACCCCACTCCGCTGCTCCAGTGTGAAAGCAGCCAGAGATGGATGACTGCATTCCAAAGACGCGGTCTTTCCAAAAACAGGTAGTGGCTCGCTCCGTTTGACTTAAGACTATGTTGCAGACCTTGATCAAAAAATAAGGGTTTTGAAATTTGCATTTGAAGTCTCATTTCAAGAGGCAGACCCTCCAGAAGATGGCTGACAGGGGGCTGCAACAACGGGCTCAAACACGTGAGGATGGCGCAGGCCTGTTGTCTGCACAGCTGCCATGAGTCAGAACTGAGCTGCCAGCCACTCACCCACCCCCAACAATTTCAAGGGCTAGACTACTGGATTGAGGCATTCTTTTACACGAATTCTTTTTTAAATTGCGATTCTGCTGAAAGTTTAGAGAGCACATTGTTCTTCCGGGCAACAATCCATACACAGTTTGTGTTGTGGCCCTGATTGCGACCTCCACCCCTGCAATGTTGCGGACCCTTCCCGCGTCCTCCCTGTTTGCCGCTTCTCCTCTTTCTTCCCCATCCCTTCCTGCCTTCTGAGCGCTCAATCTGGGCAAAGGCTTCTCCCCTGCGAATTGTTTTACGGGGGATGTGGTAGTCCGGGTAGACTGGAGAAACAAATTCATAGACGCTCATATGTGTATAAGAAAGAGCTTTATATAGAGAGTAATTATCTATTAAGAACACATCCCAGCGCAGTCCAGATCAAGTCCATAAGACCGATATTAGCCCATCTGTCTATAAAGTCCTTTCAGACTCACGCAACACATGCAATGATGCCGAATGTAGGATGATCACAGGTCAGTGGGTGGAAAGTCTTGTGGATCCAATAGGGATGGAAGCATCAGCGCTGGAGTGGGTCTCCACGTGGCTCCTCCAGCTCCAGGGCTCTGGCTCCGTCAATGAAGTTCCATGTGGCTTTTCAACAGGAAGGTAGCAGCGAGCGTGTATGTTCTTTCTCCAGGGAGGAAGACAGGAGTTCCCAGAATCCTCAGAAGGCCTTGCCCACACAGAGGCCTCATTGGCTATGACCTGATTGACTGGCTAGATTTCACCCCTTTGAAAGTTGACAAGAGATGATGTAACTGCCACAGGTGATTATCCTAATGATCAAAAGATGTGTGCCATTAGGTAAATCTGCCGCACAAGGTCTTTTTAGGTGATTGAACAGCAAGGTTACTTTGAGGAGCTAGGTGGGTCTGCCCTTAGCCAGGGTATTTTCAACCGCCTCATCGAAAGTTGGACGTTGGATAAAGGAGCTCAAAGAGTGAGTGGAGGGGGAAAAAGTCCAAAGAAGAATTGATGCATTTCGATTGTGGTGCTGGAGAATATTGAGATTCCCCTGGACTGCTAAGGACAAACACATCTGTCTTGGACAAAGTATCTCCAGAGTGCTCCGTAATTCTTGTCTTGATCCAGATTAGACAGCCCTGATATTTAAATCAAATCCAAGTGTTCATTACAGACTTAGAATGAGGGGGTCTACTGAGACTCAAATTAGTCACCTCCAGAAAAGTGTAGCATCACCTTCTTTGGGGGCCACACCAAGCAGCCTTGGAGCAGGGGGCTGGGTGCCAGGGAGTGGTGACCCTTGCAGCTGCTGGCCCCAGTGTCCATGCCTGCAAGAAAACATGTATTTGCAAGAATTCGGTCATTCTGATTTCAAGTCATCTGTCATTCGTCTTTGATAGAATGATTGGTCCTTCAAGTGAGCTGGACCTTGTGGCCAAACCACCTCATCCCTGCCTGAGGCCACTTCAGTGGGGCAGGCAGATGGATCCCCAACCAGGGACACCAGCAGCTATAAATAAAACAATCATGTCCTGGGGGTGAATGGAGAATTTGAAACACAACTGGACACAACTCTCAACAGCCAACCCTTGTCCCGAGGGCTGTAGCTTGTCAAACGCACCTGCTCTACCGGGCCTGTTTTCTTTCCTCCTTTAGAAAAGGCAAGGTCAAGTGCCTGTTTTGAAAGTGCTAATGCAGCCATATGTGCGAAGGCTCCCTAACGTGAGAGCAACATCCATTTCTCCCAGAAACCCTCCAGCACAGGATTGTAGGGCAGCGAAGCCAGAGATGACGGTGACCGCGCCCTCTGCAGCGATGGGCTCAGCCGCACTACGACCATGTTGCTTTCACTTAAACTCCACAAACATATTGCTTTCACTTAAAGAAACTCCACAAATATGGTTTCGTGAGAAAGAACCGTGCTCAGCTCAACTGCATCAGGGGAAGGAAATTGTACCAGGATGAACAACGCTCCTAGTTCCTGGAATCTGCGAGCTTTAAACGATAGACAACTACCAGACAGTGCTGAAACATGCTGAAACCCCCAGTGATGAGACCAATGGATGGGGTTGGGGGAGGCAAGCACCGTTTCTTTTGCATTTTGCCTTTTCACCCGAAGTGACCAGGCACTGTGATAGGCCGCCGCCTGGGGCAGATCCCCTGCAGGTGGCCAAGCGTTGCTCAGAGAAGCCCGGTGCCTGGCCCGTGGTCCCAGGTCTACCATGAACTGATGACAGGTCACGCCATTTCCTGAGCCACTGCCAGGAAATGGGGGGACACAGCACCAGCCTCTGAAGGGCTCCCTGCGTGGAGGACACCTGTGTGCCTGGTAGCACCTGCCCTGCCCGAGTGGCAGGAAGAACCCCCCCAGAGACCATCCATGCTGGGTGGAGACCCGGGCTGAGCGGGGCTGGCAAGGTGACATTCATGCTGGGGAAGGGGCCAGGCTGGGATCTTTGTCACCTACATACAGAGAAACGGTCTTTCTAGGTGTTTCCCAAGGTGGGTGACACCAGCCCCCTGGGGGGCACTGACATGGGGGGGGGGGGCTGCCAAAACAGGTACCAGTGTTTTATCCTGGATTTGAGGGTATCGTACCAAAGCTTTTCATTGCTAGGAGGTATCAAATATTTTTTTTTCTGATAAAGGGGTGGTAGGCCAAGTAAGTTTTGGAACCTTTGTTCCGGGCAGTAAAACCCCTTTGTGAACCACACAGCCCAACGCTACATTGTGTGCCCCCAACTCTGCACCTCAGAGAATCCGGAGAAAAAGCCGGTACAGGACTCTGAGCAGCACAAATGGCCTTTGAGGGGGAACCGGCTCAATAGCAACTTGTTAGGTTTGGGTTTTACCTGAAACACAGCGCCAGTAGCTTTGCTTGTTTTCCAGAAAGATTTAAAACGTGAGCTGTTGAAAAAGAAATTCCAGGCCCAGCAGAGGCCACCGCAGACTTACTAATTCAAAACGTTTCACCCTGAAGCCTATGAGATGTCTTAAAGCAATCATGCAGAAATTTGATAAGACGAAGACAAAAACAAAGTCACAGGTTGTTTAGAGAACATTTTATTCCAAGTATTCCACAGGATAATCATAAGCTCAAATATACAAGTATACACCACTGAGTAAGCCACTGCGGGGATTACTCAGAAAGCATCCCACCTCAGATAGACAATGACAACACTTAAACATTTACACTCAAAGAAGCCAATACAGTGCCATAGCTATCTGGCTAGATTATTTGTTGATATATGTAATTTACTCAGTGATCCCTGCCTGCTATTTTAAAATGCCTGTAAGGGATTATAAAGGAACAAAACAAAAAACCTAATTCTCCACCACATCCAATCTGTACCAGAGTCAATACCCAAGCCTGGCTTGGAGTCCCTCCACACAAATAGATTGTATCGTAAGTACTCGTGTATAAGCTGACCCGAATATCAGACGGGGCACCTAATTTTACCACAAAAACTCCATTTAAAATGTTTTGAAAAACTTGGCTTATACACAAGTATAAGCAGTACTCCGTTTCCGTGAAAACCGACTGGGAAGCCCAGATTACACCAAGACTATACCTCATGCCAGAGACCCAGTCTTTGAATATTAAAAAACAAAAATGAATGTAGCCAGCAAGCTGCACCCAAGAGGCAACGCTCCAGAGTAATCACTGATGGCAGGGGCACGAGAGGGAGGCTCCAGAGTCAGAGCCACAGCACCCCCCCAACCCCACTGCCCCCCGGAACGTGCCAGGGGAGCATCACTGGGGCCTGAGGCCCTTCGGGTGCAGCTCTACATGTGGACGCAGGGCAGCTGCTGCAGACCATGTACCCTTGGCTCCCCTCTCAGAGATCTCCCTCTCACACAGGCTCTGGGGGCAGAAGGGTTGGCCCAATCACCGAGGTCACAGCAAGACGCACATGCCTCCTCTTCGTCCAGGGGATGGTGGGAAGTAGGTCACCGACATGAGGTCAGGTTAGAAAGATGCAGGTTAGGGCTTATTCTCAAATGAATCCTTTTCAACATTGTTCCCCTCCTCTGCACGCGCCTGCTAAGAATGAATGACCCGATCATAGTATTACAGATTTTAAGACAATTAATGTGATGGGAAATTATCCTGCCTACCCATCTTAAAAATTGTCAGTTAGCAGTATTTTAGGCAACTACTTACATTTTAGACCTTAACCTGTAGCAGAACCAGGAGGGGGATGACTTTGGCCCCTGATTTTCATTCATTAGAATGAATGCAAACCAAGGTTTCCCCCTTCAGAACTGAAATCACTCACACAAGGCATGGGCATACAGCGACAGCCAACAAGACCCAACTCCCGGCTCTGCAGCGGTGGAAGCCAGGCCCAGGTTTGAGATCTCCAGGATGCCTCTCTCACGAGGGCCAAAGATACCAGGCCGAGTGCAGGCCCGAGAGGGGTTGCTGAGTCATAGGGCACTCATTGAAAAGCTCACTGACCAACCACCACGTGGTCTAATCCCAAGACCCTGATAAGCATTTGCCAACTAGTCTATGAACACAGAAAGAGTAATTTTGTTAGTCAGTGAAAATGAGCAGTGGGCTAAAGACACACCGGGAGAATTCAGACAAAGGACCCTAGAGCCGCATGAAATGCTCGAGGTTTACGCGGCAGCAGAGGTCACACAGTCTGGTGACGGTGCCCGCAGGGACTGTCCGCACGATACTGAGCACACTGTACATGCCAAACAAAAGGACATGAGCAAACCGGATTTTTGCTTATTTATTTTTCCTTTCAAATACATTTAAAAATAACATCCAGACACAGAGTCACAAATATACACAAGACGCCATCAGGCCTGCACCTTCACAAAGAGGCTTCCTTTGATTCCTTCAGCTGCTTCACGTAAAACTCAAAGGTTTCCTGTGGAGGAGACAACAGGAGGGAAGTTACCAGCAAGAAGGGAGGGCACGAAACTTAAAGTCTTAGGACACCGTCAACTGGAAGCTAGAGGACTGGGCCCTGGCGGGGCTAGAGGGGTTTCTAGAAGAAATACAGTCACCCTGACACCTGGATTTTAGGCCACTGAGTCCCATTTTGGACTTCCAACCTCTAGAACTGTAAGGTAATAAATGTGTGTTGAGAACAGAAACACTACCACAGCGGAAATGATGGAGCATGACCCACGGACTCTGGATCCCTGCCCACTCACAGGTCAAGGTCTTTGATGGCCCGTGCTTGAAACGGAAGCCCCGGGGGAGGCACTGTCTCCCAGAGCCAACTGCTCAATAACCAGTGTGAAACTCACTCTTCGTGGACCTGAAGGTATTCACCGAGGATACTCACCGGGGGCTCTGGGAAAGGTACATCCTCCCCCACAGTTCTCAGCAACACTGCATAACGCTTCAGAAACAGGTCATTCAACTTGATGTTCTTGGCAGTCAAATGTCCATACATCGCTTTAGCAGAGGCAACATCATTGTCCAGAGCTACAGAGAGAGAGGTGCGTCAGACGGCTTCTCCTCCTCCCACACAGGCCTTTCAGGGCCTCCTGGATCGTGGTTTCCACAACATATTACCGCTTCAGCCAGCCTGAGCCCAGCCACCGTGGAGGTGGGGGAGTGTGGGAAATATTGTGCCCAACCAAAGCTCTTGGGACAAGACAGATGGCATCCAGTGCAGGGATGGGTGCCCAATTTGGGAGACTGTGCTCATCAGAGCGACGATAGACCGAAGCCCCCGAGCATGGTAAGGGCACTCTGCTCGCACGCCCTCCTCTGCTGAAACCACTCTGAGAGGGCAAGTGAAGGCAGGCTCGGTGGGCGGTTACAGAGCCATCTACCCTCTCGAGATTAGGGTCTCAACACCAGCTGGGCTGTAGTCCACCACCTCAATACACAAATGTGGCTCACACAGTTAGCCATGTTGACAGGAACCTACAGAGAAACACCACCCAGTCACACTGGTGCTTCTCAAGGGAATGATGCAGGAGCCCCAGTGCTAGGTTCAGGTGCCTCTCCTTGCTCCAAGAATACAATCTTGGCTGGTTTGCCGGAATCTCATTTTTAAATGTACTGACAAAATTCTAAGGGTTCTATTGCTAATCACTGTTGGTAACTCACCTCTAAATGTGCATTAGATCTTTACATCTAAGCACCCAACCAACGCTTAGCCACTGTGTGGCACCCAGGCCCAGCAGCTCATGGGCCAGCACCCAGGAGGGATGGGGCAAGCCTGGAGATTAATCCCGAAGGAAATGAAGGTGCCCGGCTCCCAGCTTTTATTGAATAAGAACACAGATTTGAAGTGTGAGTGGAGCTCACTCCTGCTGCTTCTGTTCTTTTAATTGATCTGGCTCTCCTCGCCCAGGGCCCGCGCAAACACGCTCCGGTCCGGGTACTGTTTAGAAACCTCGGGTTCTTCCTCTTCGCTACTTTGACCTCCCTGCTCCCCACAGCTCCCACGTGCGAGTGGTCAGCTGAGTGGCAACACGCCTAGTGCTGCGCTACCTGCCACGATTTCACGTTCTTCATTCTTTAGCACTCGCCAGTTTCCAAAATGGATCGTCCAGAAGGTCTACGATCATTACTCTATTTTGAAATACTTAATGTACCCCTTAAAAGGGTGAAAATACTATGAACCACCTTATTAATTCTGATCGCTGATGAGGCCGTTGAGCCAACAATAAATTCAACAAAGCATTCTTTATTGACCCCCGCCTCTCCTGAGCAGGGGGTGCGCACGCACGCATATGGGTAAGTGACGCAGCGTGTCTTGATGACGGTCTCCCAATATGGAACTGCTAGGCAGTCGGAGCAGACAGATGCTTTAAATGGCCAGAAGTATCCATCTCGACTAGGGATCACGGTAAACGGTGGGCACTGGGAGCAGGAAGGTGAGTCGAGTGAGAATCTCAAATATATACCTGCTTCATGGTACATGTCAAGCTGCAGGACCTGGGGTGGGGTGCACACGTTGGACTGGCTCTCCAGGTGTAAGGCCAAGTGGACTTGTGGGTCTTCCCAGGAGGCTGGGGTCCCATCAGACACACCAGGGGTCCTCTGTTTCTCTGAAGAGGATGTTGTTTGATTTTCAAATGATAGGAATCATCTCATCTTTCTTTAAATATTGAATGTTTCTTTAAAACATTCAACTATGCAAATTATTTATATCATAAGCAAGTAGTGATATTTAGGATGATCTTCGAACTACAGTCTAAGACTTAGTGGATGTATTACAAATATTTAAATCACTTAACGAAGGTAGGCAGATTAAAATTATTACCATAGATCTTCATGATGGACGCATAGATTTCTTCCTTTTCAATTAATTCAGGAATCAATTCTAACAAAGATTTCATAGTTGGTGTCTACGAGATTAAACAGAAGTAACATCGTCACAGGCTCAGAAGCACAGGGAGATTGAACACTGAAATGGTGACACAGTATGAGGAAACTTTTATGACAACGGTTACAACAGAACTGCCTGTCCCATTTAATGTTCTGCCTTTGCTCTGTCCTCGCATCTGACGCTGATTCAGGAACTTAGAGCCAAAATCAACTAGCGTTTCTCAAAAGTTAATGTAATTACATTTACATCTCTTTGTGGATGTTTCTAAACTCTTAACAAGGGCCGTTTCTTGCATGTCCATATCAGAAAGCCAGAGAGCCCCACGAGTAGAACAGATAGTGTTTGTCTCTTCAGGAGCTAACATTTCCGGGCGAGAGGTGGAGCGCCCAGTGAACACTGAGCAGTTGTGCAATGAGTGGCTGGTCTAGGAGGGAGCATGCCAGCACCTTTGGGGTGGGGTGGGGCGTGCGCTTTCAGACCCCAGCAGGACTCCCTCAGTGATCACACAGGCTTAAACCCGGGCATTTCGGGCACACACGGATTACTCAGTGAGAGTTTATATACCCAGACTAACTGCCCTGCAGCCGCCGGCTCACTCTACCCCACCGGTCTCTTCCACAGCCCCCGGCTGCACCCTGTCTGGGCAGCCAATCGCTACCTGGGCTGGCACTGCCCTGGCAACGTGGGCGCTTTAAAACCCTTGGGGGAGGGGAGGAGAATCTAAGTGGGTCCATTAAGCTGTTGCACAGACCCCCCCTGTGAGCAGGGCAGTGGAAACCTGGCATAGCCCCAGGTGCCGACTGGCAGGGGCTTTGGGCATTTCTTATACTTTTATATCAGGCCATTTTGAAAGTGGCTCTTTAATGGACTAAATATTTTCTAAAAGCTGGTTGTTTTAACAAGTCAGAGATTAAAAAGTGCAATTAGGTAAATTGGAAGAAAAAAAAACCAACAACAGGGAAAAAAAAACTAAGGAAAACTTCAGCAACCAGATTGGAAAGAACACGCTGAGACCTAACACGTGGCCAGAGACTCCAATGCGCCCAAAGGAGGTGAGCTGGGCCCCAGAGGGAAGCAGAGCGATGGCGAGAGGGACAAGCACAGGTGTGCTAATGTGGTGACCGCTGACGCTGTCCAGCCATCAGAAGATTGAGCGTCTGAAGGCTTGAAGTTACACAAGCGGCCATCTAGCAGAGACAATAAGCCCACCAGCCTGTGCGATCACGAGGTGTCAACAGAATCATGTAATAAACCAAAAACCATAGGGTTGAGAATGAGGTGGTTTGGAGCAGAGACCCCAAACCCATCTGTAGACAGTATAGCTCCGGTGAAACATACAAACAATATCCCTCTGGTTCTTTGAGACTTCCTTACCCCCCCACTATCATGACCCCAGTCCTGCCTTTCAGTTCTGCCTAGACTGGAGCATGTACACTGGTACAGATAAAGAGCTCAGTACACGACACAAGGAATCCAGGTCAGATAAACCCCTCAGGAACAGAAATGGGAGTTAGAGATACCAGGGGGGGGCAAGGAAAGGGGAACTGATCACAATGATCAATACGTAACAGCCCCCCACCCCCACCCCAGGATGAACAAGAGAAACGTGGGTGAAGGGAGACAGCAGTCAGTGTAAGATATGAAAACAATAATAATTTATAATTTATCAAGGGGTCATAAGGGTAGACAGGAGCGAAAAGAGGAGCCGATACCAAGGCTCAAATAGAAAGTAAATGTTTAGAAAATGTTAATGGCAGCGTATGTACAAATATGCTTGATAGAACTGATTGTCATAAGAGCTGTAAGAGCCCCAGTAAAGTGACTGAAGAATGGGGTTTCTGGTGCTCAACACGTTTAAAGGACATCTAAAGAATGGTTTGAAATAAGCACGCTTTGACAACATAGTGATACGTTGTGGGACATGCGCGCGCACACGCACACACTTTAGTGTTCCTGAGGTTGAGTGTGCACACTGGGAGCATTAACTGTGGCACCACACCCAGTTTAGAGGGATCTACCCGCCAGACAGTTTAGCCTTGATAACTGGTCAAACGCAGGCAAATTGGGAGCTATTTGGCAGTGACCCCTGGCCATGTGTCTACACTGTTACTTGCGTTCTCTCCCATTCCAAGGTCCCTGTGCGCAGCCCCATGGATAGAGAATTCACGGTCCAAGTACGGAGCCACAATTACACCGCCCCCCTCCTGCCATCCACACCCTATGATGTAGCTAAGTGTGCAGACAAGCACCTCACACCTTCCCTCCCTTTAGTGTTAGGCTTTTAGATGAACAGGCTCAAGTTCAGTCAATCCTGCATCTTTCCACAAGACAGGCTTGTCAGCAAGTACGACATTGTACCTTTCCCGGCCTCTGAGCGCTCCGGATACAGAAGATGGATAGGATGGGGGTTTGCTCAGCGATGGCACCACATCTCTAGAAATGGAAACAGTGAGGATTTTTGATAAACAAGCAGACCAAGGTGAATGTTTTCAATTAAGAAAGTTCACGAGCATTACGTGGGCTATCATTACCAAGGGGAAGGCCTAATAGGTGAACTTCTTTCTTTCTTTCTTTTAAGTGAGAAAGAGAAAACAAGTACGAGTTCTGCAGAGCTTCGGTGGATGCTGCCTTTGGCACGACAAGTGTAAAGTTTGTTTAAAAGGAAAAGGGAAAAAATTAAACGGAGGCTTCAACAACCACGGAATAAGGTTTAGGGCCGCAAAGAAAGAGGAGAAAAAAAACACCATTCCTCTCCAATTATACTGCCAAGCATTCACCAGTGAGCTCGGGATCATAAGGTTAATTATACATTTAATAAGGTGTCAGGGAGATAACTGCTCGTTTCTTTATAAAAATTAAAATGTACAAAGCAAGTTCTCTTTAAAGTATAATTACCTACACTTATGCATACAAAAGGACTGATTTCAATCTCTCTATTTTATAAAAGGCTTTCATTGCAACAGACAGCCAGTGCTTGAGAAAGAGACAAAAGTTAAACTAAAGGAAAAAAAAGTTTATATGACAGACCAGATAAATCAAGTGTCTATCCACTCGTGGATGCTACAGTACAATCAAACATGGCAAGACAATATTTTAGTTTATGCTCGTCACAGATGTCATTCTCCTAAGTTTCTGAGAGCAAGTAGCTCTTTTAAAGCTTTAAAAACACTGTCACTGCTAAAGTGAGTGGTATAAAGAGAACTTTTGGGGACGCGTGGAAGATTTACATTATACACTGATGTTTTCGACATCTGTGAATAAAGCACTCTTCCCTGTGGCTAGAGCGATGCGTTACTGTCTGACAAGCACAGAAAGGGTGGGTAAAGGGTTTATCATCCGAAGTGTCGGCCTGCTGAAGGAGTGAACAAGAAAAGCTGTCACAAGAGCCCTGAGACGTGGCGCTGAGGGCAGCTGGCAGCCTCTCTGCAAGCAATCACCCTCACCCGACGTCCACAGGGCTCTAAGGAAAGCCTAGAAGATGATGGTTTAGATACGCCGGTAGATGCAGGACCAAAAGGCAAACTGGAGCTGACACAGAGCAAACCCCCTGTGGGTTTCTGAGACTGTAGCTGGTTCCTGGAGTAACAGTCCTGTCTCTCTCCCAAAGAGGCAAAAAAAGCAGTAGGTTAAGACCGAATGAGTACTATCACATACATAATTCTGAGGGGCTTCAAAAAGTTTATGAAAAACGAGATTAGAAGACACTGGGATTTTCCCATGACCTTTCTGAAGCCCACTCATATATTGAATGCCTACAATAGGTGCTTAGATATACAAGGGGGTACACTCCAAAAGAACCCGGAAAATTTTTTCAAAGCTATATATTTAAACTTTTTTACAAAACAACCTTATCACCTTCAAATTACTCTCCATTACACTTAATATATTTGTCAAATCTGCGATTCCATTCTTGGAAACACTTTTCAAATTCATGTTTGGATGGCTGACAGGACTCCCCGTTTGTTTGCTTTTAATTCACCTCTTCTACGTCATTAAATCGCTGTCCTTTCATGTCCCTCTTCATTCGTTTGATTTACAGTCTGACCTGGTGGAACGAACTCCAAATGCCTACAAGATGACATTTTTGTCCGTGTGGGAAGTTGATGGATGTCCAGAATGTGGTTTGTCATCAATCGACATCTCCCTTTTTTAAAAAGGAGAAAACCACTTGTACACTTGAGTAACACCCCCCCCCCCTTCCTTGTAAAGCCATTTTTAGCATCACAAGTTTCCGTGGCATTTTTCCTGAGCAGGAAACAAAATCTCACAGCTGCAGGCTGCTCTTTTAAATCAGCCATCACAAAGACAAGGTTTGAGCTAAGCTGCTTTCAGGAAAAAATTCACTGTGACCAGAGAGAACCTTCCCTGGCGACACCACCGGATGCACTAACTCAGAGCGAGTTGCTCCATGCTCGCTAGCGGGGGAAATGCGTACTATGAAAGCGCCACCCAGCGGGGCTTTTTCTTGTTGTTTCGTACCGCCTCGTATATACAGATTGAGGATGGAAAGCATGCTTCTCTCGGGGGTACAATTCGCACTAAAGGCAGCAACATCAAGTAAGGAAAAGATTTTGGAAATCCCTGTCTATGAGGGGGCTTCAGAAGTTTACAGGAAAAATGTCTTTACCTGTCCATTCCATTTTCCCACGAACTTTTTGAAGACGCTCTCAGGTCAAATTTCCTTTTTTTAAAAGGAAGGCAAATAAAAGGTACACCGACCAAACCAAGTCAAACCAGCATTTCTCCCCACTCAGGAACCAAAGTCAAAAACTTCTCACTTTTCACAAAACTGCCAGCACCAAGAACACGCTCCAGCATTGGTTAAGAGGTTTGCCGTTGGGTTAGATGAACTTTCAGGATGAAAAGCGGAGCTGTAGCAAAGGGGTGCAGCCACGCCTTCCTGATCTACCTCTGAGGAGCTGGCAGCTGGCAAAAATGTGAGTGTGATATTATTTACTGTCAGAAACTGGTCCCCGGCCTCCACTTGACACTGAGTCTACACAAACACAGTCGCTGGCAGGATCACAGTGTCTGTTTGACTACCACCTGCTGGGAAGGGCTCCTGGCGGTGCCTGTTTGTGTACACAGCCAGTGGCAGCTCCCATCACCCACGGCTCGGTCGGCACTTGGCGCAGCTTCCTGTTTCGTGCTGTTAAAATGGCATGAATGCAGTTGTCTCCTTCCCCGAAGATTGCTAATTTCACCGAGAGTGCAGGCCACCGAGACCTGCATTTGTCATTTCACGTGTCTGTGACACACAAGTGAATAGCAGGCAAATCCAACTCTTAATCAACCCTGAATGAGGCTCTGGGAGTGTTTGAGTATTCAAACAAGAGGCTGTGCTGGAAAAGCAAACATTTCCTACTTTTTGTTTGCAAACTGTGTTGCCATGGAGATGCACAGTACTTAGAGCAGTGGCAAAATTAAAGTAGGAAATCAAAGGAATGGCTGTTTTCTGCTACCTATCTGTACAGACACATTCGTCTTTAAGTCACTTCAGCCAAGCCCGTCCCCCCATTCACTGACTCGAAGGACATCTCAAGTCTGCTCTGGCAGCTTAGAGACCAACCACCACTGCCCACACTCATCCTCATCAGGCGACCTGGACTCGCAGGAAGGCACCCTTCCCTGCCAGGATTCTTTCCGTCACACACGCGTGTCTGGAAGTTCCCCAGCCACTCTCGCAGACCGCCCGACCCCTAGCTGGTGGGGCCTACCTGTAGAAGAGCTCTGGCATCATCCACCTTGCCTGAATCCACCAGCTGAAGGAACAGGTCGGTGACAGGTTTGTAAACGGCAAACTGATTGGCCAATCTCTCTGCCATGATGCTTACTGGGAAAACGACAAGAAAGAAAGATCTTTTGTTGAAAGAGTACACAAACTCATCCAGAGGACCCTGGTGGCAGTCTCACTGGAGAGAGGAAATGTGTGCGTTAGCGAGAACTCACACTTTTCCAGGGCCGACTCCAGTCGCTCCTCTATGACTTTTCTGAATAAGTAGGCCAAGCCAAAGAACTGGGGCTCCACGCTGGGACTGCCCGAAGTCAGCATGCTCTCGAGGCTTTCCACGGCGACGTCTGTGTGACCGCTGTCAAGGAAAGGGGGACCCAAGGTCAGGAAACACTCGCTAAGGTATGAGCAGTTCCGTTTCAGGAGGAAAACTAACTTTGGATTCACTCACGCGAATACATTAGGAAAAAGGACAAATATATTTAGGGATAATCGAATAAGAAGCATTAAGCAACTAGAATCTCAGCACCTTTCGCCAGCAAATCAGTCACTCAGAGGTTTCTAGTGCAAGTAGGGGTTAAGTAGTTTCTGACTTTAAAAGATTGCTCTAGGAAGAGACCAGAGCAAGTAACTGTCTGTACAACTGACGAAGCATAGAAACGACTACGTCTTCAATATGTGACCTGATAGTGTAGCTCTTTGGATATAGCACGAAATCCTGTTAGATGCCACAACTTCAGTTTTGTAATCCCCAACTGGTCGCTGGTGCACAGAGTAAAAATGACTGATATAATCTCAGACTTATTACAAAAGCTGCTGGTTATAGGAAATGTAAACCCCCGCCTGATTCACAACAGAAAGGTAAAACTGTCTTCAAACTGAACAGTGGTGTGAGTGGCAAAACAGGGAGGGTAAAGGGAGAATGGGTAGGAAAGAGGGAACCGAGTACATGGTACTGTGTGTGACCTCCTCCCTGGGGGACAGACAACCGAAAAGTGGGTGAAGGGAGACGTCGGACAGGGAAAGATATGACAAAATACCCATTTATAAACTATCAAGGGCTCATGCGGGAGGGGGGAGCGGGGAGGGAGGGGAAAAATGAGGACCTAATGTCGGGGGTTTAAGTGGAGAGAAAATGTTTTGAGAAACGATGTACAAATGCGCTTTACACAATTGATGTGTGTATGGATTGGGATAACAGTTGTATGAGCCCCTAATAAAATGTTAAAAAAATAAAAAAAAGTATATTTTCTTATCTCTAACTCAGAGTCTGATCAATTTATTTTATTATATAATATTTGGAGCATACAGTCTATACTAAAATTCTCCCCCCCTCCAATTTTTTCCCTGCATTGTTAAGAACAATTTAAGTGGTTCTACTTAGCAAGTTATCATACACAGGTGTCTGTACGATCATATTTCTGCTCTGTCAATCAACTAACTGATGCCTTACAGTATGATATGGCACTCCAAAGTTACACTATCAATTTTATGTTGAACTTGTACATTAAATATCAGAATTCCCCAACCAACAATGAACACCTTGTTAAGATAAAATTTTTCTTGTGGAGTTTAGAGAGTTACTTAACAGTGAATGAGAGAATATATACCCCATATTGTGTAGAAATGGGTTATATGGTAACATTTTAAAATTCACCCAGATCTAACTTATAAAATATCTTCAATTTTCAAGCTTAATACAATTGCATTCCCTTTATTAAAAGAAAAGTTTCAAGTTTGATTTGTGGAATAGCTTTAAAACATAAAAGCAAAACAAAACACCCTGAACCTTCCACCTAAAGAAATATTAACAAAGCCCTCTCCAAACAAGCATGTATTATTATCCTGCCACATAAGTGAATGGAAGAGTAATTAGTAAAGAAAAGTATTTTTTTTAAAGGAAGATCAATGTCTCTCTCTACTCAACAACTACTCCCTCAACCTTTAACTTAACCCTTTCACGGCTGAACTAGTTTCTGTTTGTAAGGCTTTGTAGTTATGCATCACCACCAATGTAGGAATGCATGCTGGGTCATTGAAGATTTAAATGTTTTCTTAGTTATGATGGATTTTGATAAATACGATATGGGTCTTAACATGCCTCAGTGGATGCTGGTGTAGGGTAGGTGGAAGGATGGATGTAAAAATATAGTCATGATACATGAGTATTATCTCAGTCTGAACAAGGGACCTTCCCCCCAATAACACACAGAGAGCTGTCCATAGGCTTCCAAGCCTTATCTCGCTGTGCCCCAAATCACTCCTCCATCCATCTCATATTGTAACTTTTCAACAAAGTAGTTAAGTCACTAATGAACTTTCTTCTGTTTTACGGTTAAGTAAGACCCTGCCCTGCTGCTGGCATGTGGGGAAAAGGCCTCCGAAGAAACCCTAGAGGTGGAAAATTTCAGCGGTGCTTTTCCGTACCACAGGCTACTAAAGAACTGAGTGTTATGTTAAGTGTGTGTGTGTGTGTGAAGTCCTTAGGAACTTCCAGTGGTGGTTCTCAACAAGGCCTCCTGAGACGGTGGTGGGGAAAAGCCCTCCACGCCCCCCTGTGTGGTTGTGTCCTGACAGGAGGGGTGAGTGACAGGAGCAGACACCATTTCTAACCAGAGTAACTCTTAACTGTTGCTGGCAAAACGAAAGAGCTAATTGCTCATCTTTTGTAACAAACTGTTTCCATAAACAGTAGCCCTAACATATAGCAACCCTGAAGCAATCATGATTTGATACTGTTTCTTCTAGGACTTAAGAGTTAACACCGATTTTGTAACAGATGGAATCATTCCCTATTTATCAGGGAATAACTAGCAGTTGGCACCAGTATTTCCTGTGGAGCCTCGGCGGTGTAGTGGCTACATGTCAGGCTGCCATCTGCAGTCAGTAGTTCAAAAGCACCAGTGGCCCACGGAAGAAAGAAGAGCAAGACTCGGAAGCCTACAGGGCGGCTCTCCTCTGTCCTCTACAGCCACTGAAATGGACTTGATGGCAGGGAGGCTGGTGTTTCTGTAGTGTGTAGTTTGTGTAGTGTGTAGTTTGTGTAGTTGCTAGCGGTGTCTAAGAGGCAAAGAAAAGTTAAAAGTGGTCTGTGCAAGAATGCTCCTCCCAACATCCAGTGAAAGAAAGCCCAAATATACTACTCACTTCTTTATTTGTGCCAAAGCAGTGTTATTGATGAAAACCATATTTGACAGTCCAATTGAATTCTCCAGTCCACTGACCATCTTCTCAATGGCGTGTATGCTTTCGACATCACCCTTCAAGGCGCACGCCTGCACGAGGCGAGTCACGGCCATCCTGGATGGCAACTGCTCCAGGTCCAAGGCCGCTTTCAGTGTTTCGAGAGCCTCTGAAACATAAGAGCAGCAGACAAGGGTTCTCTTACATGACCTGCACTTACTTTAGTGCAGTTTGAAAACTAGCTTCTAAACATTGGCATCAAATGGCTACACACACAAAAATGACTATTTTAGTCTAGGTTATAGAAAATATTAATATTCCATGAGCAGTATTAAAAGATATATATTTATTTCACTATGAAGGAGATATCTGAGAGCAGATAAATTTCATTAAGTCACAGGTAAAATACAAATGCTACTGACAGAACGTAGATTCCATTCAGAGATAATAGTGATTGGTTTCAATGAAGGTACAAAGAATGTGAGAAGTTTAGAGAGAAAAAAAAAAAGGAATTGTATTCTAAAAATATGTAGTTTTCACCCCCATTCTGTCCCAGATTTTATTATGGTGGCAATGACAGGATGATCTAAAACTCCCGAGAGCCTCACAATTCTTTCTGGAAGACAACGTATTTTGCCTTGTCCAAACAGGGTCAATCATACCGGAGCAGCCAAACTGGAATAGTCAGCTTCCACAAGAACAAATCGATTTTACATAATAAGCCACCTGGGAGGTATATTCTGGTATTCATTTTATGAGGAAAATAAAGCACATCTAATTCTGTAATATAGTTAAGGGCTTCTGTTTGTTTGCTGAGTATCACAGTTAGAAGTACTTGATTACAGGTTAATGGGAAATATCCTGGTTAAGTGATTTCTGTGCAAGTACAGCCAAATTATAATGTACTGAATGAAAAGGTAGATTGGGGGGCAGATGTAACACTTAACACAGCCACCACTGTCATCAAAGAAACTCTGTGGCGTCACAGCCTGAAGGCAATGTAATGCGCACAAAACCAAGACTCTCAAAGCAGCCTTCCAAATAAGAACAGTCTATCTTACGCAGAAGAATGGGGCATAGGTAAAAACTACAGTCTGGGAAAAACAATTAGTAAAGAACATGATCAATGCCATGTTTATAATTGAATTAATGCCTGATTCATAATTATTCCAAATCTAGAAACACAACCAGTGATTCTGGCAGTTTAAAAAGTATACCCAGGAAAATTTTTAAATGCACACATATAAAGGAGATGAAAATATTAGGTATACTACTAATAAAGTCTACAAAAAGCAAGCCTTCATCCCTGGTGGCCATGCACAGATAATCAACTTCTGGATAGCCTCACTACCAAGCTCAAATCAGCAACAATATCATGGAGGGAACGATGGCGAGCGGGGACGAGCACTTACTGAGTATTTACGACCGAATGACACAAGTGTGAAGGCGGAGGCACAGAGAGTTAAAATGATTTCCCCAAGTGCACAGTGCGGGGCTGCCATCCACGGTGCAGGTGTGGGGGAGGGAGAGTGGGAGAGCGGGGTGGGAGCAAATCATTTCACGCCCATGCAAAGGCAGCAGGGGCCACGCTCTCACACAACTTGCCTTGGGCACACAAAGGAACAGCCACAGCAGTGCCCAACCCACCCTTTCCCCCAACTCCCTTTAGTGCCACATTCACTCCATGACTCACTACTGGCCTTGATTAGACTGCCAAGGGGTCTGGATTGGCTGTCAATATTCTAGAACAGCTTAGTTTATACAGTTAGACTAAGATTTAATTGCTTTACTTTTTCTTCTCATTTTAGCTGAGGGTGAGAAAGAAAAGCCACCGGAAAGCGAGACCAGAAGGGGATTTTGAAAACCACGAGCTCTGTGCACCACGGAGGGGACGAGGCACCAGCGGGAATCACTGCTGTGCGGCGGGGCGCATGGCCCCTGCTCAAGCTGGGGACGCCTAGAAGAGCAGACTCCGGATTGCCTCAGACCATCTCCTGCCGTTGTCACACAGCAGCGGATTTATAAGTTCAGTAGCCAAGTCAGACCAAATTCAATCCAGTTAAAAAAAGAAAACAAGAAAAGCCTTTGAAATTAAAAAAAAAAAAGTCTTGTCTTTATCTCCATGCCCACAGCAACAAATACTATTGGCTGAAATGAACTTACTAGTTGGGAAAGCATGCTTACTTTTTCAATGCTTTTTAATTTGCTGATTGTTTCCCCTTAAAATACCAATTACACAAAAAGAGTTTTCTGGGGTCTTTTTTAAACTTCTGGAAATAACAGCACCCCACCCCCCCCCTGGAAGTTTTTACACTAGCCACTCAATTATGACGTAAGGCTCTGTCCAAAACCAGCACTTAAATATTCAGTCCTAATCAAATGAAGGAGATGGCCAAGGCTCAGTATGATGAGGTGTGACAAGCAACACAGAAGCTTCACAATCAGACGGCAACTTTTCTTCCTAAGGAACATGCAAATGCAGAATAACACGGCCATCACTACAGATCGGGGTTGGGACGAGAACAGCGCAAGTGCTTCTAACCTTCCTCTCGGAAGAGGATGCTCGAAGAGCCGCCTAAGCGGGTCTTGTAGTGTGGCAAAGCCGGTGTTGCTGTGCTAACAGTCAAATGTAAAACTTCCTGTGTGTGAAAGGATGCTGCCCCCGATCGCTCCTCTAAGGGAACTTGCTCCAGAGACCTCCAGATTCAATCTAGCCGGTGGCACACCCAAGCAAACGGCCCCCAGCCTCGCCCAACTCCCAAAGAAGTGTCCCCAGCCTTCTGGAGCTCCTCGCTGAACGTTAGCCCACAAACGCTAACCCCAAACCAACCTCATATTTTTATTGCTGTTGGTATTATGAACTATTAAAAAAGTATTAGATTAAGTTTTAAAAATCAATATTATAATCATTTGGCGCACAATCCTACACATTTAACACTCAATTTAACTCATTTGCTATCTCACACACAACCAACACGATACGCAAAAAACAACTGCTGGGAAGTGTTTCCGATGCTCTGAAGTATGTTAATTCCCAGAGCAAAATGACTTGTGCTGTGAATTTTAACGCACTTGAAAGCCTGTACTTTCTCTCGTTCTGGAACACAAATTTTGCATGTCTGAAGCGCTGTGATTCATCTTAAGAAAACCCATCTTGTGTTAAATGGAATGGAAACTGGACTAAGTGGTCAAATGACAAGTACATTCATATTCAAGCTGTATTATAAATGCATGTACAGTAATTTACGTCTCTCAGCTACCACAAAAGGCTCTTGATAAGCAGGTAATTTGCTAAATGGACTCCTTTATCCAAGTATTCGAAGGGCGTTACAAGAAAAATCTGCAGAGGCATTAATGTGACGTAAAGGTCAAGCATTGTGACATACCTTTCAAATAATCCCGCCTAACTTGCGTTATGAGGAGGAGGCTGTTGGCAGCATCGTTCAGTGTGAAGCCCTTGATGTGGGTCTCGGCGCTAAAAGAAGCAGACATTTAGAAAGGAATTACTGACATGCTTCTGATACGATAATAAATGGTTGAGCACCAAGGTGAAATTATAAAAACTACTGTTCGTATGTTAAAAATATTGCTGCAAAATATCGACCTGGAGACAGCTTTTGTGTTATCCTGTCAATGGTTCTAGAAGGATAATTTTTTTTTGCATTCTGACAGATGACAAAGTTGGAAATGAGCAACAAAAGAAACAAAGTACAAGATTTTTTTAAACAATCGGTTCAGATTCGTGAATGCTGACATATTGGATGACGAAAATAACTGCATGCCCTGCATTGTTCGGCTGTATCCTAAGCTGGATACTTTTTCCTCTTTTTTCCACATTCACCATAATTATCAAACGGAAAACTATTCTTTCAGCAACAGAAATGAACATTTATTTTCAGCACTGTGTATTTAAAATATAAACGAAAGCATGTTACGACCCAACACCGTATCATTTGGTTGACTAATTTTCAAATTTCTGTCATCCAGACACATAAGAGCTTTTAAAGCCGAACACACTGTGGGACGAAAACCGGTGCCACCTTAAAAATGTAAGATTTCAAACAATAATCGCATCCCAGTCGGTCTGCAATTTGAAACAAACAACGGGGCAGCAACAACCGCCACCCAACTTCTCACGACCCGGGCGCAGAACACGGCTGAGCCAATGGGAGAACAGAAAGCAAGGAAACGGCGCGGAGAGGACTCTGGTTTCCGCACTGTCTGCACCCCTCCTGGGGTGAGATTTCTGCATCCTGAATGTCCTGGGGTTCATTTCCCGGGTAGGAGACCTCCCCAGGTCACAAGGACTGAAAGCAAGCTCAGCGATGCCCTGACCGCCAGCGAGCCCTCGCCCTGCCGACGGGAACACCTGAGCCGCCCCGATTGTGGGAGAAGCAAGGTCACTGCTAAATGATTCCTGTCAATCCCAAGAAAACCCTCCAAGGACCAGAGGACGGCGAGCCGATCCTCTAGTCACACTTGGCCTTGGAGGCTCACCCAGCAGTCCAGGGCGCAGGATCTCCTCATTCTCCCACCAATCCTCTTAATCCCCCAAAGCGCCCACTGCTCAGTGTGACCGCTTCCTTTGTCCCATCTGTCAAAGCTCTTAAGTCAACAAACCAGGCAAGAGGCTAGAAATTGCATGAAACAAAGGATTTACTTCCTCAATCTTTAGCATGATTAAATAAACATTAGATACTATTAAAGGCTCATTTCACATCCCAATATTCCTATGGGTCCTATGTCAGAGGCTCTTAAAAATACTACCCCAAATTCACTGCGATGCTGAGGTCCAGACAAACTTCTCTGAACAGACAAGTGTGAACGACAAACTTCTGGAACCCTCAGAGAACAAAACCCTTTCTTTCAAGTGTCTCTTTGTATTTCAAGGGGCTGACCGTTCATTAAATCGACGAAAGTAAGGCCAAGTACCCGGAAGAACGGACTCCGTGGTCCTGCTGTCTAGTCAAGTTGACCGAGCAGAGCCGAGAGCAGAGGCAAAGCTGGCGAAAGTGGAAACATGACCAAAAGTTACCAATACAGCGCTTCGCATGGAAGCCATTCGTGTGCACACATAAATACAATCAAAAGCAATCTGTTTGATCCCTCACGTTTTTTCCTCATGGAAAATTCTGGTTCGGCTCTACCAGATTGACCTTCCTGTGGTGATGGCCTCTGTGCTGCCCAATAGGGTGGTCACTAGTCACCGTGGCCATCACACACTTGAGGACCCGAGACGGCTTCTGCTCATTCTTAGGAGTGCACGATATAATACATACACTTCAGGGAGAAATGGGTTTGAGTCTCCAACAACCAATGATAAAAAGACATCTGTTTTTAACTACAGGAGAGACTATCGTAAGAGAAATGGCCCAGTAGACATCAGAGAGCAGTGACTGGCCTCGGGTCAGGCCTATGAACACACCCACATAAAACAGCAGTGGTGCCTGTAGCTCACATTATTCTGGATAACAAGAACTGGCCGATCCAGTAAAGATCACCGGTGACACGACACAATTTCTAAGCAGAAAAAAACAAAAGAAAAAGCTAGTAGGGACTATAGAAAATGAAGAGCTACTTTAAAAGCTAAAGTTGAGCTGGGGTGAGATGGTTCTCAAATTTCTTAAGAATATAGTTTAGCGCTATCAGAAATTTAAAATAATAATTACATCCTCTGTTATTCTTTGAATAGCACTTTCCCTCCCCTTAGAAAAGTTTACTATAGGCAAAATTTTATAACACAAGGAAATATTCTAAGTGAAAAATCACATAAAGTTAGTTTCTTGGGCAATTCTAAAGGGTGCTGCTGCTGTCACTTTTGGAATTCCATGATTTGGTGGGAAGGTAAGAACGCCCTTGTCTCCTAAGGGGGTCGAGTGAATCTGCAACACTTTAGAGAAGGCAGCGGGTGCAATGTAAAGCTCACAAGGAAAACCACTGCTGCTGCTGGAGCCCGGCAGGTACCCCAGGAACGCAAGACGCACCGTCCGACACCCCACAGGACAACAAAGCTGCCGTCCCTCTTACACAGAGCAAAAGGGGCCCGGTGACCCAGTCAAATGTAACCACCAAAGCAGGAAACAGACCCCGAGAAGACAGTGAATTTCTTCCAGTCACACAGCTACTCAGTTGAAGAATTTGCACTAGAACTTCCACTTTGAAATCCCACACAAGTTGTCTTCAGAAGTACCTAACGCAGACTTAATTCTACACGGCTAGGTTCAAATCCATCAGCTGCTCTGCGGAGGAAAGATGAGGGTTTCTGCTCCCACGAAGAGCCACCCCTGGGAAACCCACAGGGGCGGTTCTACTCTGCCCTGCAGGGTGGCTCTGAGGTGGAATGCACTCGATGGCAGGGAGGAGGAGTTCGACCATTCTAGTGGTTGGAGGGAAGGGCAGGCACCTCAGGGCACGTGAACACTTGGAATCTAGGACTGTCTCGGTCTTAACCATGCCTAGTCTACAAGGAAGTCAGCCCAGAAGAAGCAATCCTGGGCGGCGGGGTGGGGCACGCGGAATGGGAAACTAACCCAGTTATGGTCAAAGTGCTCTCAGGAAAAAAAGTACGGAAAAGCTTCATGAAGTTTCCAGAGAGCAGAAAGAATGAAGGAAAACTGATTTCTCAGTTGTGACATCTTCAGACAGGTCAACAACTTCAGACAGGTTTGATCGAGATCTACAGGAAGAAATTATATTTGAAAAAAGATTATATTTGAGACTACACTGGAGCACCAATACATACCCACAGTTGAAATCAGTCTCATAGCATAACACTCTTACACATGAAATGCTCCGGCATTTTCTTTTCCATTTCTCTTTCTTTTTAATTGCTGGTCCTGTCCCACGAAATGGACACCCTGATTAGTCAGTTTTAACTGTGTGTTGAAAAGGATCCCTGGTGGAGTGGAGGGGTACATGTGGGGTTGTTAATTGCAAGGTCAGCAGTTTGAAACCACCAGCCGCTTCTCAGGAGGAAGATGAGGCTTTTTATTCCTGTAAAGAGATATAGTCTCGGAAACCCACAGGGGCAATTCTGCCCTGTCCTATAGTCGCTGTGAGTCCGAATCAATTCATGGCATTGAGTGCTCCATTGGGAAGAGAGTCTAGATACTCGGTCTTCAAAGAGCTGTGTTCAGAAACTCCTGGAATGCATGTGTATGACGTGTTGTTTACACTTCTACTATAAAAATATGTTTATAATGCATTAGTACAGCTCACTGTTAATGGTATAGGAGCAAACTACTTGAGACAGGTGCATTTTAAAAAATGTGTATTTATTAGCATATATATTCCTGGACCCCATTCCAGATCCACTGATTGCGAACCCGGGGCTGGACGGCGAGGACCCTTTCTATGTCACCAGCTGGAAGCTCACTGCTCGGAAACAAGTCCAATTAAATCTCTACGTTCTGAGAAAATATAATTTTAGGAACAAATCCACACCCTGGATCTGTGGTCACGGATGACAGGTTTCTGTCCAATATCATTTTCCAAATGACAAACTGAGAATAGATTAATAATTAATATTAATAATTAATTAATATTAATAATATTAAGTATATTAAATATTCTAGTGGTGAAAGAAGGAGAAAACACCAAACAAATAAGACAACCCTCACTGCCATTGAGTCAATGCAGACTCTTATCAGCCCTATAGGACAGGGGAGAACTGCCCCAGGGGGTTTCAGAGCCGCTAACTCTTCCCAGGAGTAGAAAGCCTCATCTTTCACCAGCAGTGTGGCTGGCTGTTTGGAACTTCTGACCTTGGAGCTAACAGCCCAACGCATAACCACTAGGCCACCGGGACTCCTGGTATTCCAATGGTATATAATTTAACTAACAACTGCTAAACAACGGAGTAAACACACAAATCCATTATCTATCAGTTTGTGGGATTGTAGTAGTTCACCTGTCACTACTATCTGGTGCTGGGAGCTGTGTCACCAGTACTTCAAACCAGCCTGGTGACCAACGATGGACAAGTTTCAGTGGGGCTTTCAAAGTACACGACTCAGTAAGAAAGGCTTGAGAAATTAGCCTATGGAAATCATAAGGAGAGCAGCCAAACAAAGTCTGACAGCAGTGCTGGTCCCCGGGGTTGGAGGGCACTCAGCACACAGGCGCTGCAGCAATGGTTCAAACCCACAGGACAGAGGTAGTGCAAGACTGAGCATCTTGCTCTGTTGAACATGATGAGCTCGCCAAGAAGTCAGAGTCAATGTGGAGGCAATTAACCAAAATAAGCACGCAGACGAGACACACAGTGCATCACAGAACCTCATCTGACAATCTTAGTGTGGCTGTCCCATTATAAAGATAGACAAATTATGAATGCGCATACACACCAAGTCACATACAACACATTTTCCAATAGATTCAATAAGTAACATGTATTACTGACATACCAACAGTAGATATACCCTATGACGGAAAACTTTAGTATGGAATATTATCATTTAATTATATCTATGCACAAACTTTTTTGACTCTCTTTTGAATGTCACCGGGTTTTCCAGTGACCTGAAATAATTCACTTTCTATTCAGGATTCTTATCTTTCCAAAGTGTGTGGCTTAAAAATTTTAAGGCCCAAAGTTAAAAAAATAAAAAAAATAGAGATTCTCTCAGATTCAAAGCATACTAGGGAAAGGTCAGCCTTTCCCGTTAAGCCAGTGGCCTGTGTCCTAAGACAGGTGACCTTGTTCAGCCCCTTTCGAGGCCCCTGGATGTTTACTCGTTCATGTTTCAATAAAGCTATTTGAGGCCAAGCAATGGATCAAGCGAGGACAGCTGGCATACCAGGTAACATACTTTTGCAAGTTTTTTAATCTAGAAACTAACAGAAAGACAAAATAATCACTACCATCAAACAGACCCCCGGCACCCAAAATCTGAAAATAAAAACCCTAACAGGCAAAGGTGGACAAACTGCTTCTAAGTGTTGAAAAACTTAACGATTCTCTACCAATCTCACTCTTTCTTTCAGTACCTAGGGAAAAAATGTTTGTTGTGGGCACAGGCACTGCTATAAAATGTCCATCTGAGTAACATCTCACCATGTGCTTGCGAGGAGACAATGCTGGGACAGAGTTTGCAGTACCACCGCACCTGCAGCTCAGTTCCCACAACTTGGCCCAGCCCCTCAGCCGCGGCTGTGAAACCCATAAACCTTGGCTCCCATGGCAACTGCTGGCCCAGGCACTGCATGGCCACAGGACAGGCTGGTGCCTCAGACAGCTGCTGGGCTGCGGCCCACTCGCTCTTTCACTCAGGGCCTGAGATGCCAACTGGACTCCAGCACTGCTCACTCAGAGGCAGCCAATGACAGGTACAAGTATGCAAATCCTAGGCTCCTGGCTATAAGCCAGAGCAGCTGTGGGGGTGACTTTGATGTGTATCGAATAGATACAAACATATACATGACATATAATGTGGTGTTTGTTCAATGTCAAATCACATAACATCTTATTGTATAGACTGTTTGGTGGATGTTAAGTAAGTCAGGCCTGTAATATCATTGGCTCATCCTCCAGGAGAAAAACTGGCCCCGAGACGGGAAGTCATCTCCCCGAGGTCATAGAATTTACAAGTGAGATTTAAGTTCAAAGTTCCTAGTCCAAGTTCAAAGTCCTCCACATCTTCTTAGCTGCTCTTTATCTACACCACCACAAAAGGTATAGAGCACTAGTTGCTTAACAAGAAACAGAATGATATAAAAGGTTACTTTCTGTAAGTGGACAACTTAAAAAAGATGCCAAGGAATATAAAGCAAATAAAAGGCATTGTACTGTGTAGGGCCAGGAAAGTCTACATTTTTCACCCCCTAAAATCGGCTGTTTCATACAATTTTTGTGGAAAAGGATAAAGAAAGGATAAGCAGGATGCTGTAGGAGCAAGATACTTTAAAATGAGAGGTATAATAAATGGACTATAAATACAATACTTACATAGTTTTCACTTGCATTGCTTGTGTGAAACTATCCTTCAACAATAGTAATTTTATAAGATTGCTGTAAGTTTCACTGTTAAATACAATATTTTGATCTTGGGCTCTCAGGAAAATATTAAATGCATCTAGAGGGAAAAAGTGAAAAATAAGATTTTGAAATGGTGAAGGAGGAACAATAAAACAAACCAAGGCCCCACATCAACATTTCCGTCTTTAAAAAAAAAAACTCGCCCTGAAAATACACAGAACACGCTGCAAAGTCACACACATGAACTGAGCACACAGATGCTGCCTTCTCCTAATCGGTAAGACTTTCTAAGGAACAGCTACTGAATTCAAAAAAGGTTTCCTTGAAAAATGATTTTTATGCCACTGACAGTGAGAAACAGTTCTTATGAATTTGTTGTCGAAAGATGAAACCAGTTTCAAAATGAATCAAACAATATGTGTTAAAGTCCAAATAAGCCAGAGGTATAATTTATATTGAGGGGAGCAAACGACTCATTTTAAAGCAATCTTTAATCTATAAGTGGGTGGATAGAATGGTTAGCATTTCAGCACAATAGCATTAAAGTGAATATAGCCTATAATTCTAAAATTAGGAGATCAAATTATTTGGCTACGACAGGACTTATATAAAAACATACAATTTTCAAATATACAGATATCTAACAAGTAAACTAAGCAACATTTGTTTGACTGATTAACAGTTTTATTTCACTCGTTCACAATAACTGTCAGTGAATGAAAGGATGTTACCCAAAGAGAAGTAACTCCACTTTTCAGTCACCTACTTTTCTGAAATAAAACTGTCTGGCTAGAAACATCCCACTGGAACTACCATCTGCTCTCTCGTGAGTTAAACAAACCGCAGCAAGAGGAGGCAGAACTGAAGGCCCACACCTGACCTCCTGGAATCACAGTTCCATGTGCGGAGACAGAACACAGATGAGGAGAGAACTATGAGACAGCACTATGCAAAGGGCACGTGAAGCTAATTCAGGGGATTCTGGACAAGCAGCAATTGCTTTCGCCTGTCCATGGAAGTCAGGGGAGGGCGGGGGAGTTTAAATTAGTCCCTCAAACTGCAGTAGTAACCTTAAAAATGTGTCCTTTCAAGTAACATGTGTGGAAGACAGATTCATACGTGCCTCTTATCTGAGAACAGTTTGGGCGAGTGAAAGTAGTAGAAGTTAATCAAATTTTAAGTAAGCCCTTCGAAAGAACCGTCTATTAGTAGTTAGACTACCAAGTGCCCAGGACCAGAGGTTTGCTTGAGAGGCACTGGCACAAAGTAAGCTGATAGAGAGGGACTCTGACCATTACCCACTGACTTACGGATCGAACCCCTAGCCTATTTAGTGTAGTTTGCTTTTCTGTGAAGGGAGCACATTAAGTCTTCCACGTCATTTGAGAACATTACAAATTCCAAAGCAATGTTTCACTTGCTTGTGAAGTCACAGAGCATATACTGGCTAACCAAAGTAAACGGAGACACAATAGCGTAATTTCAACAGAATGTATCTTCCAATACACGACAGTAGAATGTATCTTCCAATGTACGATATGCATTTTCCTTGAAAAGGGGACAAAGAAGGCACAAAGAAGGCAAGGTGCAGTGTAATTATCACCTACTTTCTAACAAGCATGCACTATTTTTTAGTTTGGTAAATAAGGACATGAAGTAAATTTCAGTATTTACGATCTGCAAACTTAATCTAGAAAAACTTCCTAGTTGTTTCCTAAAAACATGGTCCCCACATCAAATTAGGGGGGGCAGACTTTATTATTCCCCATGGTTTTTCAGTCACCACTGTCCTCTACCAAATCCACTCACCACTCGTTTGTTCTGGTGTGAAAATCCCGGCCAGCAGAGATTCATTAAAGTGCTGGTACAAGTATTTAATGTTCAAGGCATTCCTGTTTTATTAAACACAAACATCCTGATAGATACACAAAAGTAACTAAAAATTAGCAAGAGGAAATCAGTGAGGTAAATGTAAAATGCTTCCCAGTTCCACTGCTATTGAGTAGTCTGGCTCGTAGTGAAGACTTCAACGGTGGGTGGGGAAATGGAGCCGAAAGCACTGGAGAACAGCCCCACAGGGTTTCTGCCCCACAGGGTTTCTACAGCTGTCGCCCCGATGGAAGCAGACTGCTCACCATTCTCCTGACTCTGACTAGTCGCCCAAGACTTAGTTTCCCGAGCCAAACATTTCACCAGAAGATTTATAGAAAGGTGACAAAGATCATTAATTTCCTATTTGGTTTGAACCAAAACGAGTTACAATATTTGGGGGAAGAAAATGACTTCCACTCAAGCTATCCGCTCTCAAAAGTTATTAGATCAAGAATTTCATGCATATGTGCTCAAGAAATCACCAATCATATATGCTTTAGGATGTGATTACAGAAAGATTAAAGCTGCCATTTTAACCAATAAATTATATTAAATGATCTCTAAAATCTTTCTTAACAAACTACTGAGGCTGTTTAACTTGTAAAGAAATGTGAGAAAACTTAGTAATCTCAATGTCCTGTGTCTCGAGCCGTCTGTGGCTCTTTCCTACCAAGTGTGGGGCTCTGAAGCAAAACGGAAATCATGTAAAGGGTATCATGCAGATAATGGTGATTTCCTTTGTTTGTAAAAAATATATGTATGGCTCTCGGAGAATTTTTTAATGTTTTGAGGGACAGGATTGACTCGTCCATCTCAAGTTTGCCAACTCGTGGTCTACAACACGTTCTGTGCTGTGTCCCACCCCCTGGACAGCACTGGAACCCTGCGCCTGTGCAAGTGCAAGTCCACCACCCTAACGTCAAAGCTGCGAAAGACAACGCACACTAGGACCTTCGTAAAATCCGACAACTGTCACTGACATTCACATGACGCAACTCTGACATGAAAGGTTTTCTCACTATATGCCGGAAAAGCTGGCTGATGAGTACATTTACTTTGAAATTTGAAGCCAGACGTGGATCAAGAGTAAGGTGACCAGATTTAAAGCGGGACACCATTGACCAGGGTGGGGGTGGGGATTCTTGATTAAAAATTTGGTCTACATGGATCAAATAGACTGTTCCCTAGCTTGTCGTGCATTCTTTCCAAAAATCGGGACTTTTAAAAAACGTCAAAAATGGGACGTTTGGTCACCTTAATCAAGAGGCCAGAAAGTTTAGATTTGTCTTGCAACCGCTTTAAAAGTTTGATTCATAAAGGACAAGAATGTTCTGTGATGATTACCTGTTGAGTGCAAAAACTATATCCCTTCTCTGGGAGAGGTCTGATGCAGATCTGAGTATGCGCAATCTCAGGGAAGCCAGTTATACTAGGAGGAACAAATAACTGACTGCCAATAAGGCTTGCTAACATCCCAAGGAACTTAGAACTGGGATCTCCTCTTGGAGATGATGTACGGAACTTAGAACTGGGGTCTCCTTTTGGAGATGATGTACGGACCTTAGAACTGGGATCTCCTTTTGGAGATGATGTACGGAACTTTTATAAACAAAAATCAACCCTGAGTTTCTGACAAAGTCTTTCAATTTAGCTCATTCTCACTGCATAAAGGTGTGTCACCAAGACAGAACTTCAAGTTCAATCAGGAAATTATGAGGTTCTTAAGTTTTATAAGTTTCTAAAAGGATTCCTTTCTATTGGTTTAGTGTTCAAAGCTGCCAATACTAAAATAAAAACATATTTACTGCATTTATTTTCTTAATGGTTAAAATATCATAAAAACATACTTGAAATCTACATAAAAGCTGAGAGAATTAAAGATAAGGGTAGTACTCTACAGAGAGAAATGAATAAAAAGGAGAGATGAGAGTAAGAGGTGATGTGGGGAGGGTGCAAGAAAGTCTAAACAAAAATACCTAGAACTCAGCAGGGGGAGCTTCCATCACATGTTTGAAGAAGGTCAAGGAATGCTAGGGCGATGGAAAGAGGGGAGGACATGCTTAGGAAGACTGGGCTGGAGACGCACTCTCATTGTCTGCCGCCAATCGTGAGACGTTCGCTCTATCACGCGACTGCGAACGTGGTGGCTAAGGCCTTTCTACTTCAAATACGTTACAGTCAATGCCCAAACGAGTGTTGATGATAATTTTTTTTTTCAAACTATAATTTTGAGAGAAGAAAATGTATGCCTCCTACAGCTTCATTATGAAAATCTTGACGAGGTAGAAAATTGCCCAAATTGTTAACCATCATGACATTTTTCCAGATCTGCCTTGGGCTTTGCTCTTGGTGGCTTGAGCATTTTAACATAAATTACGAATAGAAATGAATATTTAATTATGGATCCTAAAGTTTGGGGTATTTTTCGTATAATTCTTACCATTACTGCAAGAGCAAATTCCTCAATATTACATACCTCTTATTCAATATTTAAATTCTATCAACCCTAAAATGCCTTTGCTAACTGACAATACGAAAGAAACCATGTTCCCTCCACGTCCCGGCGCACTCCTGCCGTGCTGGCCTCCCCCTCACTTTGTTTCCAGGTGGACCTGGAGCACCTGCGTACCTTTAGATTGGTTCCTTTGGCAGGCGATCAAGAGATCTTTGCGGAGCTTCATTTCTACAGGTACAGGTGGTGAAGAAGTCAGGGGATGTTTTTCATCCTCATACCACAACTTAAAAACAAAATTATAATCGGTTAAACGTCAAATAGTAAATTACTGTGCTCTTTTCAGTGAAAACCGGGCTAAATCTTGAAGTTATACTGAAAGCACAACCTGTGATGCTTTGAGTGAAAAATTACTTACCTCAGGCACATCAAATGGAACCTCCTGATTATTGTTTCTAAGAATTTCCGCTAATAATCTTAATGTCTTCTCACGAGGTATGATATTTTCTTCTTGCATTTTATTCCAGACAGCATCAGCTTTTTGCCAGTCTCCATTCATTTCTGTAAAATGTGATCAGGCAAGCAGGCAGGCAGGTATCAGGAGATATGAAATACAATTCATGAGGACATTCAGAACTTTTTCTTATCTGACCATTAAAGAACGCATCATTCCAAATGCTGCATCCAGGAAACGGGTCAGGCTTATTCTCCACGACAGGTGAGAAGGCTTTTTCTAAATACCTTTAAAAAAATCTTTGAAATTTACCCATTTAAAAAAACCCACCACCACCACCACTATCTCACTTCATCTGCTAAGTACTTCGAAAATGATGTTAATCCAGTAAACAGAAATTATACAAGTGTCTGAGAAACTGCCCAATGCTAAAACTGAAACCAGAAACAGGTGACGGTTAATTCAACAGTGTTTTAAAATCTGTACAAAAACACAGAAACATGTCTATTACGCAGTGCACAGTTGAAGGTCTAAAATGATTGAAAGTGTACAATATATCATTTCCTCCAAAGTGACAAGTCTATAAGCCCACTTGACTGAGTCAAGTGGAGAGACCTGTCTTGGTCTCCCCTGCTGACTTGAATTTCTGTGATACCGTGTGACCGATTAGACCTTCTTGGACTTCATATTTCAACAGAATGATGCTATCAAACTACTTAAGTGTTAAAAGGGGACAAGCTTATTGAACAGGAACGAGGTAGCTTTGCTCACACTGAAAAAGCTCAGTTCCTTCTAAATGGTAAGCCAATCTTCATAAATGGCAAGAACTTAAGAATCAAGACTTTTAATTATTCTAACATGTGTGGAAGATCACATCAGTCAGTTAATTAATGTTTGCTTAGATAAAAAATTAGAAGATATGAAAAATGCCACAAGACACTTAATTCAAAAATTAAGCACAGAGAACTATTGCTTGTGCAAATAAAGCCCATCTTCATAGTGTAAGGTCCAGTGGTAGGAAGTTTATTTTAGAGCATAACCGCTCCAGAAAACGTAAGTGAGTCTGGTCCTCAGCATCTTAGAGGGGAATTACCACAACACTAAGACGAAGGTGATCTTTCAGGGCTTTCCTTATAAAACTGAAAAACCGTGTCTCCTAGAAGTGCCGATCTCAAGGAACAAAAATCAAAACCCTCCTTCAGAAACCTGCTACCGAGCACTGAAGAAAATGGTAACGATGAGCCGAGAATTCCCCCATCCTCCATTGACTGTAGTGTAAATGTGCTAAAAAGAGGCCCAAATAGTTTAAACTAGCCTAACGCTCAGAGTGGTTTTATACATGCAGTGAAACATGCAGGCAGTTTCAAAACAAAACTAAGGTGTCTCTTCCTTCATTAAAATGTCTTTATGTACGTAACCCCCACCCCCAGTTTGATGAATATATAAAAATACCTTGGCAAAAAACCCAAAATCTAAGAATGTTTATTTTATTACTACCAAAGAAAACTTGTGGACTGCAGGAAAGAAACAGTTGAGGGGCATTTCCAAGAGCTGGTAGTAGTACTGCCACCATATTTTAAAAGCATTAAGCTATACCCATTCCTCACTTGTCAACATGGCTGGCCTGCAAAGCCAAGGTTGCTATGCAAAAGTGGTGCTGAGGAAGAGGCAGAAGATGAGGCGTGGACAACTACAGCGCAGAGGGGGCCCAGGGCCCGGCCCTTTGGAACTACTATCTTCTGGCGTTGTGGTACTCACAAACTTGGGGCCAGGTGGCTGGACTAGAGGCACAGTTGGTGGCTCTGCGACTCAGGCAATCAGAGAAGTTGGGGGTTGAGATGGAGGCTGGTTGCTCACGCTCCTACAAACAACTGCGGCATCCCCACAGGTCAAAGAGGGCCCAACTACAATGCGTGATGAGCTGCTGGTCTTGGATGGCTGGGAGCCCGTGCTTGAGACTGGCAGCTGGTGGGCAGAGGGACTCAGCAGTCTGGGCTTCGGAAGAGGAGGAGGGGGCGGCTGGCCGAATCACCCCCAGTGCCTTTCCCCACCCCGTATCCTCCCAAACTCCTCCAGCCCCTGTCCGGTCCTTCCGGGATGGACCCCTGCAGAGCCACCTCGGCCAACTCTTTCACAACGAGAGCTCGCTGGCAGAGTGGCCTCAGCAGGAGGGCTGAGCCTGGCCCGCCGCTGGTCTCCTGGAGACCTGTCGGCAGAAGGTGCCTCTGCACACTGGGCGCTGGGCTCTGGCAGAAACCCAGGTTAATGTCAAAATAGCTGGACGGGCCATTTAACAAAAACTCTTGTCACAAATATGACATGCTGGGTCACATGAGAGTTAGTAAGTGAGGAGGTATATTTCAAAAAGAAAAGAAAAGGTGGGTGGATGGTCTACAATTCCATCCCTTCGGACTGAAAAGATCTAAGATCTAAGAGGATACTTTTCTTCTTTTTCAAAAAGTACATTTTAAAAAGGTAAGAATTTTTTAACACTTACATTTGTCCTTTGGGAGGACAAAGATACTACAAGGATGTACCTACTAAAACGTACGAGCAACTTGTAAGAAGGAAAGGTTTCAACATATATATAAGAGCTATTATAAATACTATTGAAAACCCCATTATCTATTTATCTGCCTACCTACAAAAAAAAACCTTCTTGGAACTATTGGACCTGGACCATAAAGCACTCAACAAACTAATCAAATCGCCAGGATGTCAGCATCTGCAACTGGGTATTAAACCTCACAAAGGTGTGGAAAAGCCACGTCTTTCATGAACTTTTGAGGCTTCAGCTTCTTCCTGAGAGAACAAAGATTGCACGTTGTTGTTGGAAGAGTCAAACAGCCACTCACCGAGGCCATGCCCAGCAAATGGAAGCACTGCCTCTATAATCACATCACTAGCCTACAACTCACGGGTCTCTCTTTCCAGAGTGAGGGGCTGGACCACATGACCCCAGAGAACTCTGGAAAAGCACCGAGTACTCCCATGACTGGGGAATTTTACAAGAGGGAGCACAGCTGTGGTGCCACATTGCCCCGCTCTGAGACCAGGTGTAACAGCTGCCCCTGGCCCCGCGGGCTGCTGTGATACTGCAGGAAAAGCAGCAGCAGCCCTGGTGGAACATTGGTTAGGTGCTCGGCCACTGGCCAAAAGGTTTGAACACACTCATCCCTCGGTGAGAGGAAGACACAGTGGTAAAAGGTGGCCGTTGGCTTCTGTGGAGACAGCAGCCTGGAAAGCGCTGGGGGCCAGTTGCACGCGTAGTGACCCTATAGGACAGAGTTGGCATCGACTTAACAGCAAGGTACCAAATGAGGAGTTCTAATTCACAGCTTTCGTGATAAAACTGGTAGTTCTAATACATTACTGATACAGTGAGGCAACCCCCAGCCTTCCCACCGGTGGTCTCTAAATATCACTGGCTTCTAAAATGAGGGCTCCAAGAGAGTTATGCAACATGAGCCTGGATTATCCGCGAAGTCCACAAAGCAAGGGCCAAACAAAGACTGACTATGAAGTTGTGTCAAATGGCTTATGGGACAACATATACAGGGTCCCACCGGACACCTAGAGCACCAAAAATAATGACTGCCACAAGGTGAAATATCCTTTTTTTTAAAAAATCTTAACTTAAAAGAAAAATCACCGACCAGTTTAAAGTGTGCCAAGGGCACTAGTTCATTATGTTAAAATTGGGTACCTACAGGGAGACAAATCAAGCAATTATCTTTTCTTTCCTTGATTTCATACGACTAAGTAAAATAAGGAACATCTCAGGCCACTACGTCAGACCTACCGCTGGGTAAAGTGTGTGGCCCTAAACATAGAGACAAAGGATTGAAAGGACGGCCAGCCGACAACTGGGGACAAGTTACCCTGATGGGAGGACGGGATGCGGTGGAAAAAGAACAACAGCACTTTCACGGCTAGCTCTGTATCTGACTGTATGAGAGCCCCGGGATGGTACAGTCATGTGTTTGACCGTGTTTTTTAAAGGGAGGAAGTGGCATAAGCGATGGTATATTCGGGGGAATGCAACAGATAAGCTGAAACAAAACGTGTCTGAACTGTTGAATGTGAAACGAATGAGCTGCTCTGTAAACTTTCCACTGAGTTCACAACTCAGAGTTTTTAAAAAAATTCCATTCCTTTCCTGCCGATTCCTCTTAAAGACATTTTACTTGTTTTACCCACAAAGCACCTGGAAGCTTTCCATCCATTTAAAAGAAAAATTAAAGAAAGAAGCTATTGAGAAGGTTTGCACAACTTGAAGTTTGTAATCAATGTCACTCTGTGTGTTTTGTTGTTTATTTCCACAATAAGAAAGCACTTAAACATGAAAAAGCTCTTCAAAATGAGTAAAAAAGGGAGCATTATTAGCACTCAAACACTTCATTTTTTTTTCAAACACGCTATTTTAAAACGAACAAATTTAAGAACTAAACTCCTAAAATGCATGGCTCTTAATTCTATATATTCAATACCAACTCAGCAATGTGTATGCCAGACTGTACTCACCATTCAAGCCAAAGTTTCAAGAACAATATCATGAAGTGTGCACTTCACTGTAACTAACAATTGATATGTATATTCTAAATCAAGTACCTCTATGCCCAAAGCACTCACCATGACATATGATAAAGCTTATAATAAACGCAAGTTCAAAAAGACAAGTGAGGCATCTTGTTCACTGCTGTCTCTTTGAGGAAGAAAAACGTGCCTGAGAAAAAGAGAGCAGTAAGTAATTCTAGGTAAACTATCTACAAAGGGAAAGGGTTGGCTGTTGGCTGTTTTAAGAGTCAGCTCTCCTCAACTGCCCTGAAAGTGCCTATGAATGTTGGAGTTGAGAACTCCACGTAAACTGGGGCAAATTTAACTAAAACACTGTCTGACGAGAGACCAAAAATTTTAGAGACGTCATTCTGAAGCCTCAATACAAATACTAGAAAGTCGGCCCCGAGTAACTGAGCTTGAACGGAGATGAACAATGTGTGGTTGCTTTTTGGGAATGTGAAAAACTGAAAACTACTCAGTATCTACCACCAGAAATAAGAGACTGGCTGGGTAAATTCTAGTACATATATTTATTATACATCAATGAGGCAATTATAGGTGATAAAACATAGAAAAATAACCAAAATCTATCATCGTGTCAAACGATTGCAATATGTTCACATTTTTCTAAAAGAAAGTGTTTAGCAATGTATTTGTTAATAGATGTTCACTTGTCTGGAAACTGACGTTTGCACATGAATATAGTGATGGTCGTTCATAGAAATGATTAATAAATCTCTTTCCAGATTTAAGTAAAAGGGACTAGTATCTCCAAAAGTTCTTTTTGAAATCTTTGTTAAAATTTTTCTCTTAGCTTCTCATTACTGGAGAGAAGAGTCAGAAATTATGAAGACCGTCCAACGTCTAGTGATACAATATAACAAACTTCAGTAAGGCCTCCCTTCCAGCCTCTGATGACTGCAGAAGCTTCTACAAAGCCCAAGACACCGCCTTCTGGCCATTGCCTTCAACAGACTAAATCAAAGCATGAGAAATGGGTCACTTACTGTATAGTTTTAACAGATTGTAGTATAGCTGGTCTCTATCACATTCAAACAGTTTCTGTGTCAGTTCCACCAAGTTTTCCAGGGTTTCAACCTTAAAAGTAAGATCAACAGATGGCTTTAGATCATGTAAAGAGCACTTGCTAGCTGGCAAGTCGCTGCTGAATAATCTTTCCTATCAGCTTTACTCAAGGTGACAGTAGCGTCTAGCTTCACTTAAGTTAGAAGGCTGAAGTGTCCGGTGTTGCTGAGAAGGCCACATGAACAATTAACACCCAGCTAATCTGGTTGAGTGGCCCTCCATGAGGGTCCACTCCGGTGAATACAAAGACAGGGTGGGGAGAACTCAACGAAGAGACCCTCTATTAAGGAAAACACTCCTGCATCTAAAAGTTGCACTGGAATACCACACCCGACTGCACTTTGCTTGATTATGACAGATAGTGGGGTTTCCCCTCCAAACTGGAGGCTTGTGGCAATGCTGCACTGAGCAGGTCTGTGGCACCACTTTCTTCCGCATGCTCACTTTGTGTCTCTCTGCCACATTTGGGTAATTCTTAACATGTTTCAAACTCTTTCCTAATGCATGCTTCAGAGAGCACAGCATAGTGTAAATATAACTTTTACATTCAATGAGAGACAAAAATAAACATGTGACTTGCTATATTGTGGTATGGACTTTCTTGTGGTGTCTGGAACTGAGCCCGCAATGTCTCTGAGCCGGGACGCCTCCTCCCGGCAGCTCTCACTTGGCAGGACATGGATGGGCACTTGCCTTCGGGGACACAACTCTGCTCCATACGGTAAAATCTTCCAGGGTCCAAGTTAAATTTTTCAGAAATCCTATCATCCCTCAGGAACAAGAACTAAGCTACTGGCTACCAGGAAAACGATTCAGGGTAACCCTGTTCCCAGAATGCTGTATACAGCTTTTGAATTCCCCCAAACACTCATGGAAAATTAAACACAAACCTGATTACTTGTAATGCACCTCTCTGAGAACCACTGAAGTCTTGTGGGACGAGCTCTCATGCCTGGAGTCTGTAAAACACAATCACCATAAGGCACTCACAAGCTGTATTTAACTTATAAAAGAAGGTTCAGGTTATTTCAAACTGCTGCTTTACTGGTCAATGTTCTATGAATCCTTAATTAAGAAAAATACAAGGGGGCTTCAAGAAGTTTATGGAAAACGAATTAAAAGACAACATTTTCCCAAGTGCTTTTGGAAGGCCCCCTCGTAGTCCAGCTTTCTTCAGTTGAAAAATAAATCTCTGAAGCAGTAAACTTAGATACTTCTAAAATATGTACAGCACATACACAAACACTCACATCCACATAACACACATACACTTCTCAGCGATTTCCACAGAGCGAAGTAAGTTACTAGTCTGTTATTGAGAACTCATTAACAAGTCAATTGCCCCAACAATAAACTAGTGTTCTATTATTAAAAGCACACTGTAAAATTTAAAATAGAAGTACCTCAATCACCACCACAAACCCTTGCCTACGACCTAAACTTAGTTTACAGTCTTAGTTTACTTCAGTCATTGAGGTATACGTTCTATAAGCAACTGGAGGAACTGGAATGATTCAACCAATAGTTCTAGCTTCAAAGTAATTATTTTATAATTTTGGATACTAGAATAAAAGGGAAACAATTTCAACATAATCCCAAGGATTTGTCACTCCAAGGAGAGTATTTTCCTCATCAGGAGGAGGGAGCTCCACATGAACTGCTACACTGAAATACCAGCCTTGTCAGAGTAACTGCACGCTCCTGCGCCCGGGCTCCCACCTCGAGAGGAGGTTCCCATCCTCCTCTCCACTCAGCTCTGTCCACCAAACCAGGTGTCCCTTGAATAGCAGCTCTTCTTTGTAAGTTCCCATTATGATTATTTAAATTAGCATGGACAATGTTAAATTAAGTATCGAAGCAGCAGCTTTGGTAGGATAAGAGCAAAAGTGGTATAGTAGTAGAAATTGTACAAGCATCCTCGTTTTGAGTGTCTAATGTTCCCATATTCGGGGAGGCAAGAAATCAATGTGGAATAAATTAACTGCTAGGACATGCACACGAAGATCATTAATAATAACACTTGAACAAAATTTATGCTACAGGTTTTTCTTACATTGTTGGTTTTGTTTCACATGCATTATATTGAAAATGAAACCAACATCAATGTAAACTAAAAGCTCTTGGAATGAAGCACAGATTTTTAAAAAGCATAGATAATCCTCTTTAGAACAAGGCAAAATGCAAGGCCACATTCACTTGCTCCTTTCAATGCAGTTGCTGACCCAAATGCCAATGGCTATAAATAGCACAACCTTCATGACAAACTCCTCTTGTTTGGGCCGATTAATCTGCCCACCACTGGCAGGACAGCTGACTTATATGGAAGATAGTCCCATGTTCCGTTTTGAAATTGAGAATGGTTTTCACATATAAGTCTCAATCATCAAAAAGAACATCCAGGTCAGATTAACCAAATCCCCTAGGCTGCTGTAAGATCTACATTTCTGGCTTATCTCTTAGCATCTTATTGAATTTTAAACACTGCAAGTTGGAAGCAGAAGTAGAAAATGTAATAAAAAACATAAGAGAATAATAGAATTCTAATCGGAATTACTGAATTGGCGTCTTTTGCTGTGTCTATTCTCAACAACAGAATAAAATTTAGAAGAGAAGAGATTACAGCTAAAACAACTCTAAATGAAACGTGAGTATAACTTATCAAAAAAGGAATGGTTAATTAAAACAATAAATTCACCTTTAATTCTTCCTGCTCTTGCCACATAATCAACAGTGAGTATAGTCATCATTATAATAAAAATGGTTATATTTGTTTTTTCCTGGGTTACTATGCTTTAAAGCACTTTCTACCACTGCAGTTCAAGACTAGGCTTATTTGTGCAGGAAAATAAAAAGTTACCCAAAGCCAAAACCAATGTTCATTACTTTACATTGATGTAACCTTGGTGGCATTTGTAAACATATAAATTTTTAGTATACGAATCTTGATACTTCGCATATTTTTTAAAATACTATACATAAGTTTTACTTGAGACTACAAGGGGTGGGGGTCAGGACCCGACTCATTCTCATTAGTGGTAAGACAATATAGTCTACATTCTTTTTAACTGATAAAGATGCAGGTTTTTAAAAGAAAGAAATCTGTGATCACTTCTCCTATGTCAAGGAGTCATAAAAGAACTTTGGAAGGAACTAGGGACGGTTAACCTGTAGAGGGGAGGATGGCAGGAGAGCCAGAAGGGTTGTTTTTCAAGCAGTGGAACCAGTATCGATAGTGAAGGAGATTTAAAATGTGCTCTGATTCATGTTATCTGATAGTGTCCTAGAACTTCCCTGACCAGACTTCTTGTCTCCACTCCTGTGACTGACCCCAAATTCAAACTCTGGTTCTCATGCAAGCATTACTTCCTGAGAAAGACTTAGTAGGAAATGGGTAATTTTCCTTAAGTAATTATGGCATTTTAGAGATTCATATGTTAAGGCCTGTATCTCAGACTAGACTCTAATAGTCATGATCAATAATTACAAGGAGGGAGGGGAAGTGGTCGGATAAGCTGTGAAGCCTCTCAGATGGTATCAAGAACCTTAGTTGGAGTCTCATTAAGGAAACTTCGGAGGAAGAAATGTGCCGTGGTCAATTTGAAGGACTCATGGTGGGAGACGCGCCATCAGATCCGGTCAGAGCTCAGTTTACCTCTGGGTAGACTTGAGCCTGTATCCTCTGGTTAGCAGCCAAGTGCGTTCACTGCTTCCACCACCCACACCAATGAAAACCGCCTGCTACCGTGGCATTAAATTCCGACTTCAGACTCGCGGTGACCCCAGTGTCACAGAGTTGAACTGCTCCATAGGGCTTTTGGCTGTCTGCCATCTTACGAAAGCCGAGCTCCACTCCTTTCTTTTATACTCTTGCTGAGTGGGTCCAAACCATCAACCTTTCAGTTGGCGCTCGAAGTACAAACTACTGGTTTTACCCAGGACTCCTACTTCATCCTACCTTTGGCTAACTAAGGTCACTATATTTTGCAAAATGCCATTTGAAATGACCATAAACTACAACTACTAGCCTAATTGAGGTCCTTATTGAATCTTACTGCCTTAAATACTCTTTAGTCCAAACCACATCCCTCTAATACAAATTCTTTTTAACACTGCTCAGAGTCCTCTGTCTTCTGGATTCACCCAACTTCCTTAGTCTCCATCGAAAGGCTCTCTAAAACCTGAAAATAGTCTATCCTTCCAAAACACGTCTCACAAGCCTTGTACCTCAAAACAAACGAATTGCTTGCAGATTTTCCTTTTTTACGTCATTTTAATGGCATTCCTTCCTATACTGGGAATAAGTTTTACTCTTGAGCACACAAGTACTATTCATACTTTCTATAGCTAGCAGCTAACACTTCTTAGTCTTACACAGTAGAACTCTTCACATATTAATCTCATGTTCAAAGAGCTTCATATTAGCTCCTTAAGGGAGCTTAGTTTAAATAAGTCTCTTCCTTTGCAAGACAATCTCCCCCCAGCCCTGATTATATGAGGGCTTTAAAAAGTTCATGGAAAAATTCCATTTCCTTTTCATTGACTTTCCGATTAACTTTTTTAAGTCACCAAGTATATTCTCATTATAGAAAGCTCATAAAATACAAAAAATATAAAGAAAAATACCAGCTGTAATTCCATTTGTCAGCAATAATCCATATGTCACAAACTATAAAACTATGCTTATTTTATACGATACACAATATGTGTACCAACCCATTTTTGAAACAAAACATGGCATACACGGAAACGTGCCCCTGTATGCCTTTAGTTCACGTGAGTTTCTGACTGGTTCATCTCGCTTCCTTCCGCAGGACATCATATAAGCAGCTCTGTTGCAGAGCTTTGAAATTCAACTGCAATGGTCTATCCACTGGTAAAATACAAATGCTTTCTGGAAATAATAAAAATGCTCAATATCTATTCTTTCTTAATTTATTAATTTTAATATTGTCCAACATCCTTAGCTTCTTATTTGGTGCACTGCAGAAACGAAAAAGGAGAAGGTTCTGAATTGACCCTACAGTCCTCCTGGCCCATACCACACTTTTCTTTGAAAAACATCAAAAAACCACCTCCCGTTCTCTGGGCTTTCTGCCTTCATTTTAAATGTCCTACACGCAGTCATCAGTGTACAAACACAGAGGCTAAGAACCACCTTTGCATTGCATCCCCCACAGGCACTGTTGGGGAGAAGCACAAAGTCCAGACCAAGTGTGACCGGGGAGAAACACGATTACAGATCTGCTTATAAGTGGACAAGTTTAGTCATCACATGAAATACTTTTTTCTTATGGCAACAGGTACATTTTCTGTTGAATACCTTGTTTTCTTAGAGGACAGAGAATTGTAGCTGCCCTTTGACTTGTCAATTTCAGGAAACAAAATTTCAGTCAAGCTTAGATAAAACATACTAATCCCTAACAGGCCAGGTTTGTCACCTACCACGTCCCATAAGCCGCTTACCATAGTTTAAAAAAAAAAAAAGAAAAAGAAAATTTAAATTAAATGCCAAACAGTTGCAGACAGCACCTGTTTGGGTGATTAACTTGTAGACAAGCATCACAAATACATCTGAGCATGGTCTGCAGCAAATTAAATTCGACTGCTTTTAAGAACAAAGAATTCTTTGGCAAAGAGGATTAGCAACTTTACACCCAGGAATGCCAGTTTAATTTAATTGTTCCACAATCCAAGATTTAATATGCAAATATCATTTTGATATATAACAGTGATTTTCACAAAGCGAGGAAACAAATTCAATATACAACCAGACTGCCTTTTCTGAACTGTAATTATACACAAGGAAGAAGTTGGCCGAGCTCTTTTTTCCTTCTTTCCCCTTCTATTGGGATTGAATGCTATTAACATGAACCAGAACAAGTGTAATTAAAGGTTAAAATTTTTCAGTGTAATCTAATTAAGAGTCTAAACAGCTGTACAATTAGAATGCTGGCGCTAAAACCACACCTCGATGATCTTCTTGGCCTCTTTGTAATTCCTGGTCTGCAGGAAGGCGAAGAACAGATCATAGAGCATCGTCATCTCACCTTGCTCCTGGCTCACGAAGTCCATCGCTAGCGGAGAAAGAAGAAAACATCTTAGGGGAAGAAAATACACAGAAGCACAATGCAACAGAGGCAGTTCTGCACAGCTATCCAGCTTAAAAATAACTATTTACAACAAACAGAGCTACAAGTTTCTGTCTGGAGATCCCTATGAAGCCGAGCAGAAAAAACAGCAGAGGGGAAACTTTCCAAAATGAAGGTATTCAAATGAGGAAAGTTTCTAACGTGGGAAACCCGCTGAGTTTTTCCCTTTCCAAATAAAAAATGTGACTGTTTCTCTGGCTGTATGTCCCTTCTGGTTCAGCTTTCTCTACGCAGCTATGCATTGAAGTTAAATAAGCAGGAGGGGAAAACTACGGAAAGGTGTTAGAAGGTGACTAACCTTTCTGAATGAGATCAGTCTCCCCCTTCTCAATCAGTCCGCATAAGACATCATGAATCCTTGGGAGTACTTTATACTTTTTATAGCAGTCAATGGAGGCTTGGAGAGCGGCAGGTAAGTCATCCCTGAGAAACAGCAACAAGGAACCATGAATAAAATGAGCCCAACTTCATTGAGACTCTTAGTAATGGTTTGCAGAGATTAAAATGCACACAACTGAGCTTTATTTAAGGTAGAAAACCACACAGCCAAGATGAAAAAAAAGTATGAGGGGCAATGTTCATATATAAACAATGTTCAGAATACAGGCATCAGCAACAAATGTACAAATGTGCTTGACATAATGGATGGATGGATGGATGGATTGTGATAAGAGTTGTACGAGCCCCCAATAAAATGATTAAAAATATATACAGGCATCATTAGCAGTTTTCCTGTTTTCCCAGCTTCGTATTTTATTATTAAACTAGCTTCACGGTGCTGTTAAAAAGTCCAAATAGATGAAAACATACTCTGAATTCACGTAAAATATGATTTTATGCATACAAGCAGTTATAAGATTGCCACTGTTTCTAGTAGAATTATTGTCAAATATCTTTTTCTAGATACTTGACAGCCCTCAACAATTTCAGGTTGTGGAAACTTTATTAAATTTACATTAATAGCTATGAAGGATTATAGCTATCAAAGATTTGGGAGAACCTTTTCAATTTTGTCATCACTCTTTTTGGGATATTGACAGCCTTTTTTTCCTTTCTGAGGTAAACAGGGAATAACCTCAGGATTGGTTCATCTCAGGAACTTACTGTTGTTAAAACCTGATTATTTCCATGATCCTAAGAGACCTTGACAGTTTTAAACTTCATTTTAAAACATTTTTAAACATCATTTCTATTTACAGACAAGATTCTCTTATGTAGTGACCAGTTAAAATTATTAGAATATTAAGTCAGAATTCCCTTAAAAAGCAGGCAAATATTTTCTGTGTGTCCTTGAAAAGTATGTATTTTTCCCTTTAAAAGGAAAATGTCAAATATGAGAAATAATGCTAAGAAACACAAGACCTTCAGTCTGTGATCCTCTTCCACAGACCAATCCCTTGATGTTGCCCGAGATGAGGAAACCGAGGCAGCTAGAGATTGTCCTGTGCAAAGCTCCCAAGTAAATGGAGCAGGTACCAGAGCCAGGCCCCACACTTGCCACTCTCAGTTCAGCACACCTGATTAGACATTACGCTTTCTCAAAAGCTCCATTTTTTGCTTAAACTAGCAAGGTGTTGCTATTTGGAACAAAAAAATTAAAGCATTTTGGAAAGAGTATGCAACATAAACGGAAGGCTTGATTAGAGACGGGCCAAAATACAACTGACAAGCAGAGACAATCTTGGTAGAGAAAACAACTTCTGTTCACACAAGCCAACAGTTTTCAAAAGGAAGAAAAGCAGTATTTTCTGTTGTCCATTATCCAAATGTTAGGTTGCCCTAGATGGAATTACTATTTTATCTAGATTAAGATTTTAAGCGGTATTCGAAAGTAAAATAAGACGAGGAAGTGTTAATTTCATCGCAATGATACTGACACAGTGAAAGTGAGCCTACCCCTGCGGATCTACCTTCGCCCCTTACTACGCCTGTTTACAGTGCATCTTCCGGCACCCCACAGAGTCATTTCAGTTTTTGTCATTTGGGGTGAAGACTAAATTACAGGTTAATTTCAAAACCGCAAGTAGATGTTGCAGGCTAGATTACTGTCATACAAGAGAAACGCTACAGTAGCTACCACATGTGTTATAAAGCTTGATATAATCAGTATTTTCTAGCACTTCAGCTAATGCTTTTCTACAGTTCCATTTACTAGGAAACTACTAAAATATCTTTAAAAGTAAAACTAATACAAACTAGTTTCAGGCTTTTCTTCTTGTTTAGTAGCAAGATTTGTGTTTTCAGATCCATTCCAAAACTAGAAGAGTTATTGTCTCAATTGTATTTTCCCTACATCAGGTCAAGGCTAACAATAAATGAACAAATAATTGTTCTGTCAATCAAAGAGACATGTTAATAGTCTTGGTCAGCAATACATCCTTCTAAAGATTATCCAAGTACAGAAGAACAAGAGAAAAGGCAAGAACAGAAAAAAGGAAATCAATCATATAAAGTTTCGGGAAGACAGAAATGAACTTCATACCGAGCCATTTTTTTCTAGCCCTGTCTGGGAAAAAGAAGAGGCTTCCGCTCCCAGGAGGAGTTACAGCCTCGGAAACCCCTGGGAGCAGCTCCATCCTGTCTTGTGGGGGTCCCTCAAGAGCAGTGATTTATTCTCTACATTCTGACTTGTGGTGGATCTCATCATTTGAAAATAGACAAAAAATTCCTATCCCTCACATAATTTGATGTCGTCATTAATCTTTATTATTAAAGCTTGAAGATTTAGGTGGCAATGCTGAGGATATATTGTCTAAGACTCAATTGCCTATGTGGATAGTTCTATCTTCATGACTTGGATTCCAGTTCTAATTGATAAGCACCACACACCGTACAACAGCAATGTAACACTGTTTTCTTGGCATGGTGAACAGAAGAAATTGTCACAAGGGCTGAACTCAAAGTCCTGTGGGCTCCTTTCCTCTTTTAATACTACAGTACATACACACTCAAGTATAAGCCCAGTCTTCCAGCACATTTTTAATGCAGCTTTTGTGGTAAACTTAGGTGCCTCGGGTGATATTCAGGTCGGCTTATACTCGAGTACACACGGTAATTGCTCTGCATTTGCGCGGTTAGTCATCTACTCAAACCTGTTTGGCACCAGCACAGACAACCACTCCGAGCCAGGAAAGGGGCGTGAGCAGTGAAGAGTGCTACTTTTCTCAGGCAGGATGCATTAAGAGCAGCAAATTTTCAAAAGGAGAAAGGCGGGAACCTTTTAAGGCCCAAAATATAAGGCCCCCTGTTACCAACCAACAGTACTTCTAGCTTCTCAGCTTTAAAGTGATCTTCCGTGGTCTTTGTAGACTTTAAATCACTAAAACGGGACAAAAACCCTCCTCTACAGTAACAATAATCCTTTGAAGAAATTGTGTAATTAAGCCTAGGTTTCAAACTTTGGTTGCATACTTACCCCTGTCTGTATGGATGACTTTATGCACCAAACACCAAGTACAGCTTTGTACACAAAATGAGTCACACATCTTAGAGTCCTTTCCTGAATAAAAACTTATCCACTGTGCTTTCACATAGTAGGAAGCAAAAATGAACTGCCACATACTTACAGGATCACTGTGGTATTCTCAAAGAATGACACCCCCCACCCGCCCCCCCCAAACATTTCAATAATATACAGAGAGGCTTGCACAACTGAAACCATACATACTAATAAAAATTAAGGCTTTATCTTAAAAATTGATATTCTGAAGGATGTAAATGAACGGTTACTCTATTTAAATTCTATTAGCCTTTGAAATGAAGGAAAACAAGTTCAATGTGATCCTATAACTAAGTTTTAACAATACCTATGTATAACAGGCTGAACACAGTAAGTAATTCTTACGTTTTCACATTTGTAAATGGAATTCTTTTGTATCACTTGGCCCACTTCAAAAGATGCCACAATTCCTATTTTAAGGGAACATCACTTACACATAAAATCGAATGCTACCCCTTATTGTAGTCCTTAAGATGAAACTAAAGTATGTCAGAATGTCAATTATACACACACAACCCTCAGGTTCCGATGTATGCTTAGTGGATGCACACTCATATAATACATGTCCTTGGTATGAGACCATCTAGCTAACGGTAACCAGAAACAAAGCACTCCTACTCAAATGCCTCCTCACTGTGAAAACCACCAACGTGCACCTCACGATCTCAGACTGTCACAACACGTGTGACCAGCGACAAGTATCTATCACCTACCAGCAGCTTTAAACTCAGCCTCTGTCCTTCCAGCAAGTAACTCCCGAATCCAGGGAGTATACTTAAACGACAACAACAAAGATGACTACTTCAACAACAACAACAAAAAAGATGAGAAAAATTAATTAATTGGAGTAAAGTGCTTCGGCATTATGCACAGTGTTAGAGAAGTGGCAATTTATCTAAAGGGCTTACTGACTGAATAGCTCTCAAATCTGAAATCACTAGAGGAAAAGGGGGTTTGGGGAAGAACAAAAAGTTTAAAACCAGAAGGGGGAATCGTAAAACAACCACCCCACAACACCCTAAAAACAAAACTACTCTATCAATTTTAAGCAGATCTTTAGTATCAGGCGAAATCAATACAGGAGAAACCATCGTCTTCACAAACCAGCCCTTGAAAGGGCTACATGTTTTTCTGTTCATCATCTTTAAATGAGGAATCTTCAAGAAGACTGGTGTTGCAATTACAACTAATCCTCCCCAAAAAATTAACTGTGTTGAAGGCTTTGTAATTTCCCTAGGTACAATTTAGCTGTCACTTACTTTAAAATTTACTCAAACATGCGTTCCGAACAGCACTAACTTCACATGTCAAGTGCTTTCCAGCCAATTGAGTCTAAACTGGAAGTCGGTGTTAAACAACTGAATGATTAGACAAGATAGCTCATTTCCCTGCTCTTTTGTTCAGAATAAAATGCCACATTTACATTATCAGGCTCAACAGGATTTTCTGACAGAGAAAGAAAAAAAGCCCTACCGAACACTGTCCGTACGAAGCACATGAAGCCTGTCATTTACCAATCATCCTTCAAAAAGCAATAGCCATGAATGTAACTTAATTACGACCCAATGATCCTTGACGAAAAATCATCTTATCACTGTCCTGTCCCTCGGGCAAATGAACCACTTTTGTCCTTTGGCACTGATGATGCTAAATTCTTAATTGCAATAATGGAGTAAAAGAGCCAGACCTCCTTAATTTCCTCTCAGTACATGGAGTTTCACTCTAAAAAGGCAAGCATTCCCACAATAATAAAAGTATCTAGTACAAATGAAGATGCTAAAATTGAAGGGTGTGTGTTGTGTGTGTGTGTGTGTGCGCGCGCGCACGCAAGATAGACTAACCAACATTTTAAAAGTCTGGTATCTCCCAGACTTTTACATTCCCTAGTGAATTTTAAAGCTTACATTGTGATAGGGTCATCTTACAAGAGCTGTGATCTTTCTGAAGAAGCCAAGATTAAGTTAGCAGGAGTTAGAGAGGATGATATATACAGAGCCCATGGTGCACTTAAATGAAATGCATATGTGCATATAGAGTATAACACAAATCAGCCCGGCAAACTCCTTCATGAAAAGCAGAAATTAAAGCTGCTTTGATCATTTGCGCTAATATAATCCAGTTAAATAGCTTCAGATATTTTTCAGACAATGAAACCAAAATGGATCAGCTATAAAACAAGTAAATCTGAAACTGCATCACACAAATGTTTGTGCTTTTAAATCCAATGGCTCAGATTTTCCTAATTTCACTTCCCTTACTATAACATAACGACTGATCCAAAGCTCCTTTAGCCTATTGTAAAGCATTGCTCCCTTCCTTGATATTAAAGATCCATGTCAATCTCCCTGAATCAGGCATGATTTCAATAAAAGAAATTAACTTTAAGATGAACAAATGAAAATATTTAAAATAACATTCATTTGGACAACATCTAGACATGGCTTAGAGAACAATCTAATGTAAATGAAACACATGGAAATAATTATGTTCTACTCTTGAATATTTCTTTTCAAAAAGAAAAGTATTATCAAAACAGACAGAAACAGATTTGTTTATAAGCAGTTCCTTCTAATTTTGCAGCCCTGTTAAGGCTCTGGATTTCCCTTGACAAAGGAATAAAAGCAAAATGCATCGTTTTCATTCCCATAAAGATTTCTGACTCTATCCAAATAATACAAACAGACAGTGGTAATTTTTCTTGTGTTTCATTCACGGGAAGGAAAGTTGGTTCAAATTTAAGAACTATTGAATTTTCAAGATTATTGTTCTAAGTAACTCAATCTACAGATTTATTTAGAATGATAACACATCAACGTACAATGATACCTTTTTCAGCCTTTCACAATGCTAATCTAAAAGTGATGCTCGCCCTTGAATGAAAGGATGGAGAATTTGTATAATGCCCTGAAATATTTTCATAATTTTGCCTCTGAATAAATAAGGTTCATTTCTCAGGAGAGCTCATAACTACTCCGGTCAATGTGATGATCTGACTGAAGACTAGACATTTGATCAAATCAAACACGTTTTTCAGGCAGCATAGTCAGTCCAAGGAACAATAGTACTTGCCATGATTCTGCATTCATTAGAAATCTTCATTTGTTTGTGAAACAAAGACTAGAAAAGAAGTTTCAACCTGTATTTTCCTTCCAACATTTCCTGAGAAGCACCACTACTACTGTCTACAATTTTATAAATATGAAGCTTACTTTATCTCCTGTTATTATCCTCATGAACCTAAAAAGACAACCAAGCCTTTGATGTCATAATAAATGAAAATGAGAGGGGCTGCCATGAGAAATGCTTCTTTAAAGCGAAGGCCGAAGTGAAAACCATAGCACCACCACCACCAAAAACCCACAGGCAAATAGAAATAATGTCTAAAAGTGGTGAGAAACCATGAAGGAGAAGATAAATTGTTTCGTTCCCTTGACTGAGACGCACACCTATCTGAATGGCTGCCTATCAGAGGGAGGCAGAGCAGCCAGCTCACTTGGGAGAGGAGCCGCAGTGCCAGCGGTTCCCATTCTCACTGGGGTAAGTTCGACTTGGTTCATGAGCCCCATCTGTAGACCCCTTTAGGAAAACTTTTATGTCTTCTCTGTCTTCAAAGTATTTCTATTGGTAAGATATCTTGTACCAAGGCCTGGTTTTCAATGTGAATTATTTTATTTTTGCCCAGTGGTGGAGGAGGGCCTAATTCTTCTGGGCATTGGGCCCATTTCTTTCAAATCCCTATACAGAGCTCCACATGCAATTTGCAGAGATGGGTCTTTTTAAACAATCAAAAAATTTCCAGTAGGAAGCATATTAATTATAGGATTTCTATATAAAGTTGGCTGTGAAAATGAGAATTCAATAACACAGTAATTGTTTGAATCACTATTTCTTTAAAAGAATGTACTACCGACATTGTGGAAGGTAAGATCTAGCCAGTCATCTGACTTGCTGTTTGATGACTGAACGGCAGAGGAACTGACCCACAGCCTGGGGTACGTGTGTGTGCACCTGTAGACACATTTCCTAACACCAAGCTAGAAAACAAAAATTGCTTATGCTACATTTCTTATTCAAGACAAAATCACATTCAATACTAAGCTGTATTCGATTAACCATGCTCCCCCCAAATATAGAAGAACTGTTCGAACTCTGGAAAGTATAAGACAAACTGTCAGGACATACATTATTTTTCTCTTGGCACTAGTATGGAAACATTTATCTATACTGTCATCGACAATCCCATTCACAAGGATGGTAGGCGACAGGGAGTCCAACATACACACATTCATGCAGACAAAAACAAACTCAAAAGGAAAAGAAAAAAACACTCTTAATCATCTTACAAGAACATTGGACTCATATCAATAAAGTGGATTGATTTTGCAAATAATACCTTCAATTGGATACCAACTTGAATATTTGGAATGGAACAATTTTCAAGTTTGGCAAATCTCACTCCATCTCAATTGTAATTCTTTATTTTTCCTACAATGCAAAACTATGCTCTAAAACTTCAATCAAGTTAAAAATAACTTTTTCCTGATCAATGCCATTAAAATACCACTTACAGAAAGACGCACTGAAGAGATGCATATGCTTTGTTAACAAAACAGTCCCGATGCTCGGTACAGTCCAGCAGGAGGGGCAGCGAAAGAGGAAGAACCTGGACCAGAGTGGCTGCCACAGTGGGCTCGGCCGTAAGAACAGTGCGCGGGACCAGGCAGGGCTTCCATCTGCTGCACGTGGGGTCGCTCTGATGGAACAGACTGTACGGTTGGTTATATCCCAAAGCCCAAGAAGGCCTTCTGGCTTGTTCTCAATAGCCATCAGCACTTACAAGACCAAGAGTTGGGGAAAACCAGACTCCGTGTCATGTAGCATCCTCACAAGCCCTTCAAATAAATCATGATACTTCACTCTGCAGGACCACTGGGTCACCAGTGATTGTAAAGGTCAGAGTCCACATAAATCCACTTAGTTTGCGGCCAATCACTGCTTTTATCTATCTATCTATCTATCTATCTATCTATCTATCTATCTATCTATCTATCTATCTATCTATCTATCTATCTATCTATCGGCGGCCAATCACTTCTAAAGGCCTCCTCCACATCATCACAGTTTATTTACAAAGTATAATCGACAGATGATTAGACTCCTCCTTCTAAAGCCAATATTTAAACTTCAAAATTCAATGAACTTACTTTTCCAGATACAGGGTGACCAATGGGGAACTGATGCTGGTGGACGGGCTCGCTAACCCCAGAGTCACGATGGCTTCGTGCAACTGTTGAACTGTTTCAACTTCACCTCTTAAGGCAGCACCATTGAGGACGTGGAAAAAGGACAGGACTGTTGCATCCTTGATAAGAACATCCTTCTCTTTCATCTCCTTTAGAATGTTCATAGCATCTACAATGAAGTAACCCAAAAGACCCTTAGGTAATTTCATGTAGGGAAAACAAACTGCTATTAAAACAGCATTTCAAGCCCAGCAGGAATGTAAATTCTAGTGTATAATGCCGATTTCAAGTTAATTACTACTTGCATTTCTAAACGAGACTACAATTATAAATCCACAATAGCATGGTTTTATCATTTCCCTGCAACTCTGACTACAAATTATAGATAGGGACTGTGTGCCCACTCGGCACCACATAACCCTGTACAAGCTGCCCTATAGCTGTAAGATCCTCCTAAATGGATGCTTTTATCGCTCAGTGCTAACATCTGCTAAATCACACCATTGTTTCTACAGCAGATGGCTTGTCAGGAGGCCAGATAATAAAGATGTGTTTACACTGAATATACAGCCAGACTAATGGTCTGATACCGATAGGGCCTGTTTGCTATGTCGATACTAATTAGCCAAGCAGAGCCAATGAAAGCTTCCCAAAGACTGCATGTTAATACGGTACATTCGTTAAGCTTCATTAGGAAGGAAGAAACAAACATTTTAGGATATGGAATAAGTGCATTTTTATAATGCTGTTCTTAATTATTGCATATACAGAATGCTTTGACCACTTTACAAAAAAGTGGCTTTTAAATAAACAAACTAATCTTTGTAAATAGTGTCCTGTTAGAAAGGCTTTGTGGGTGAGTGATGTGGGAGCTGGTGCAACTCAATATTTAACTAAAATATTTCTCCATGCATTTTGCACTTTAATACAATTAAAACTGGCTTATCTAGAAATCAAGGAGAAGGCTAAAGACAAAATTTCAAAACAGCTTAATCAAAAAGTTAAGAAACAGCAAATAGTAAAATTTATCATTGAGTACAATTCATTATGAGGCTTAGCACTGTCATAACAATACCAGACTATGCAAAATCAGCCATATAATCAGCTGTACGCCAGTGAAATTTCTAAGTAAAAACTTTTGAAATCCAAGGACTACCGCAACACTCAGGTTCTTAGGGAGAGAAGGCTTTGTTTACAGGCTTTATGTTCAGCCTTCAGACCTTCTTAAAGCTAAACAAAGCCATTAGTCCAGGCACATAAGCAAGTTGTGCCATAAGTCATGATCTTCAAACTCAGTCCAAACAGTAATGCTAATAAAAACTAGCTGCAGAAATGCAAAAAGCACTGAACTGTGTAAATGTAAATGACAAGCTTGCCTATCCATTAAAACTAATGGCCTACACTGTCCATGCAGCTCTGGTTGGATTCACATGCAAATGTGTATGCAAAGTGTTCGAGCACTTTGCAGGACATGATATACCATTAATATCAATTCACATGTTATTCCAGTGGCAAGATCCTGGCATCGCAGATTTCCTTTCCACCCTGAGCCTTACCTTGGAGCTTGCCATGTTTTCCCAATACCTTCACAAGGTTTACGTACTTTCTGGTGTCAAGGACAGCAGATGGATCTAAGCGGTCACTAAAAATGAAAGTCAGAAGGTATTCTATTAAAAGTCAATTTTACCTCCAAAAAGAACGGCAATACCCACCTTGTCATTTTTCACTAATTCATCAGAAGGTCACAGTGAACACTGGTGCCTACACTGGCATTGAGATTATTTTTTAAGTCACACACCAACTCATAGGTTCAAAGGGACAAAAGTACAACTCACAAACACAACACATATATTTCATCATCCACCTGTAAGCAGTGCTAATGGAGAACTGCTGCTGACATTGTTAAGTAGTGCCCCAAGGGGATAGGGCGGGGTGGGGTGCATGTGTGTGCCTGCATGCGTTTTCCTCCTCCCCAAAGCCTAAGTACCAGCGTCATGACAAGCTTCTGTTGACCCTGCAACGTAGAAAGGAAAAAAAAAAATCTAACAACTTTACAAAACACTCACACCTTCACTGTTGTGATGCATGTGGCTCCAAACACTGACAACTTGTATCATGCTGAAACAAAGACATCTTACTGCAAACACCCATAATTGATCAGGGGCCTTCACATTATGAGATTTCAAGCATGCCGCGCTTACAGGGTTTTTAAAAATCACATTAGGTTCAGAAAGGAACAGTCTACTTGGTCCATCGAGCACCGCGTGCTCAGCATCAATCCTGAAGGCTTGTTTCAGCACCAGGGTACTCACAATTCTTGTTTCAGGGTCAATGCGTCCTCTACACTATCATGTCGACAGCACACACCTATTAAGGCTGCGTAGCCTCCAATAACCATGTCCGACTCATATTTGGCTTTGACTTCCAGGGCTTTTTGCATATTCTGAAAAGGAATAAAGGGGGCAAAAGGAAGGTCTTAAGATCGAGGTGGAAATATTAAACTTCTAGTTGTAATGTTCCCTTCTGTTTAGAGAAAGTTAGTGTTGCTTCAAAAATAAGTGATTTCATTTGCTCAACAGATTCTTGCTTAGTATTTTTAATTTCACTTTTGAAAAGCAGGCAAAGCAGCTACAAGCACAGAATTTTAAAATTTTGCTATCTGTAATGCTGTTATTTATGTCGAATGGAGTTTTAGTGTTGGGTACTGTATTTTTTTCCTTAATGACGTCTAGATTAAATATCTGCTACCTCAGCCCCGACTCAAAATCTCATTTCCATATGCAGATACATAAATCACTGCACGGCTGCTTGCAGCCTAGTGTAATAGCCAGGTAATGTGAAGAAATATTTCAGAACGTAAGGTACCATGTTATAATCTCAAGTCAGTTGGGATATTTTCTCTATAAAACCACAGGCGTAAGACAAGATCATCTTGAACTAGAAACTGGGGGGTGGGGGGCCTCCTGGTACCCCACAAATTGCAGACAAACACTGCGATGAACACAAAGTCAGCTGGACGCCTGCTGGAAGAAGGCAAGAGACCCTTATCTCAGAAAGAGCTTTTTTCCAGCAGGAAAATGGAATTTCAATCCCTGCACTAACAACCTAGTCATATTTGACTTGCAAATGACTACTGCATGTATCAGTTGCTTGACAATCTAGATAGAAGAGACCGGAGCCATGGCTTGAAAGGACATTTGGCATGTATGATAAACCTATCACGGCTGTTACTATCATTCACTTTGCAGATCATTGTAAACAAACTACAGCAACCCGAAAACATGCCATTCAAGGTGTAGCTGAAATTAGTTAACCTTTCATTTAATTGCATTCTTCCGAGGCATGACTTACAATCATCAATTGTAAAAATGATGAATCTTCTATTTGACTTTGCTCGATGTTATCTGTAAAGACTGTTCTTCTTATTTTTCATTTTACCGGCAGATTTAAAATATTCAAACAAGCATTACCTCTTCTGAACTCAGTGTTAAGATGAGTTGCTTTAGGACATCTCTGACAGGCTGGTTTTCAGCTTTCAGTCTTTCAAGTGTGGCCTCTAAATCTGATGCCGTAAACCGCGAAGTCTACGGGAATGGAAAGAAGAAACGTGCTAAAACCAGAAAAGGGTTCCTTTATCCCTCTTCCTATTAATACAATCTTTCTAGCTACGTTCTCCAAGTGTCAGAAATGCTGGCAGGGATACTAATCTGGAGATGGACTCCAAGGGTTTATAATCTCCTGAGATTAGATGCAAATTTCTTAGCTACATTGTTTTTTCTGAGAAGGGGAGTAACTTTTACGAACTTCTCAGAAGAATGTTAACACAATAAAAATATTTGGACCCAACGGTTTTGGATGGATGCAGCCTAGAATTCTCATTAAATCTGGCTCTCATTGCATGTAAAATCTATTCAGAAACCTACTTACTTTTGAAGAGTCTGTCTTCTCTCTGTCAACCAATAAGTTAACATCCTGAAATGGGAATTTAAACTAGTTCAGAATTAGAAAACTTTTGGGAAAATACAATAGCAAAGATAAAAACCATTTCTGAAAGTCTAATCTCTTCACTGATATTTTTTATTTACATTTTCCAGAAATTTTCACTCATGCTGTATCAGCCACTGGAATTAATGTTTTAAAATGCATTGTCCCATATATAAACAGTATTTACCAACAATCAATGAAAAATTTTGTTGTTAATGGTTGTCATTTGAATAGCTTTTCTTTTTTAAGGGGGGGGGTGCAGAACATCATAATTCAATGACATTTTGACACGTCTTTATATATAACTTAAATTTAGGATTTCAACAGAGATTATGATTTCACACACCTTAATCAATTCAGGAACATGATAGCTGTCCATTAGATTGCGAATGCCTCGGTAGATATTTTCAGGGATTTTTAGATTCTGTAGGAAAGAGGGGGGTGAATGTTCGACAACCACGCTGGCATTTTGTCAGACAGAGATGATCTCAGACATAATCCAAGTCTCCGGCTCTGGCATGTCATTGAGAAGTGGTCTGGTTGTACTTAAAAGCAGCAATTTCAAATCTAATAGATACATGTCATGCAGGACAGGCATTATGTAACAAAAAATGAAATGGTACCATCTCCTTCAGCTGATGGAAGTATTGTCTCAAATGCTCCTCCTTGGCCTGTACCTCTGAGTCACTCATGCTGTCAATCAAGTTATAAAGGAAATAGCCAACAGCTTCTGTGGAAAAAAACATCAAGAGAAAGCATTCCACTACAATTACTGAGACTGTCATGCTATCAGGATTAATTTATCAGAAATCGTTTTGGTGTGAGGTGTCACCCTGATGAGAGGCTCTGAAGTGGCAACAATGATCACCGAGGCATAGAGATTATGTGGTTTGGGAGTACATATCTCACTGGTGAGTGAAAGGAATATTAATTATTTTCAGGCCGAGTGACAGCTTTTCAGTACTGAATCTTACTTCAATCTATTTTTTCCACCGCTCTGTGACAGAATGGTCCTGCCCAAGGCCTTACCCCTTTCGTGTCCTATCACAAGTGACGAGGACAAATAATGTGTGGTACACATTTCCACACTAATTGTGTGTGCGTGTGTGTGTGTGTGTGCACACACAATATTTAGGGAAGCACCTTAAATTAGAAAAGACTGCTAAATGGTGAGCATAGGAAGTTAAGTAATTTTTAAAAGCAGATACAGTAATCCTCTGGAGAGCTGCCTAATAGCCAATGAAAAATTGAGATTAACTAAGATGTTTTGTAACAACAGTAATTTTCCTACACATTCAAGCATAAAGCGTGGAGAGCCAGGAGTTAGCACTTTGGATAGAAAATTTGAACTCTCAAAAAGGGTACCTTCTTGTAAAAAGCCATGTATTCCAGGCATCATTATACGAAAAAGGAAAACCATTAAATGTCAAAATAACTTCTTTTTAATCATAATGTATATTTAAATGGGAAAGAAGCCCCAAGACTTCTCCACCACTCCATGTTTAAAGTTAATTCTGCAAAACCTAAAAATCAAATAAATACTGATAATTAGTTACTGATTTCCAGTCCAATTTCCATAGATGCTTTAAGCATTTCCTCAACAGCTGAAAAGAGAGTCTAAACTCAGTCTTTAAAAAATAATAATTGTAATAAAAACTAACTCAACATGCTGTGGTTATCAATATACAGATTTATAATAAAACGTTTTCAGATTTCACTTCAAAAAGCAAGTGCTTACTGCTGTAACCCTCCTAGCCCATCATTACACAGAAGAATGGATTTGTGGATAAGCTACAATCATCAAAATTGAAACACTACCCCTTGCTCCTAGCGGCTCCTGGCAGTAACGTCCATCCTTGTACAACAGCTCTGTTATCTGGTGAGACGGGAAATGTGTCCACGGCAGCGAGGGAGAAGCAAATAAGAACAAATACAATCTGAAATTGAATTCTAGAAATAATAACGCCTTCCCCCGGTAAACTACTATTCTATAGCACAGTAATTCAACACTATCCCTTACCCACACCAAGAAAATAGTTTTTTTTTTAAATAATAGGTTTGCCTTTTAAAAACAAACCAAACCCACGTTGAAGGAAATGGAAATGATTTATGGACGGTCACTTAAGATCTAATCCAACTTGTTTATGTCACTTTACATGAACAGTAAAAGGTCAGGACTAGTTTAGAGGAATTAACAACCAAAATTCTTTCTTATCATACTGTTTTTCAGTTTTGTTTAAATTGTACCGGTTGTTTCCTTTTAAATGAGGTTGATATAGAAATAATAAAATATCATGGACCATTATGTAACTTACTCTATAGTCAGTGAATGAGGTTTAATGGCACCAATTAAGAAGAAAGTAAATTCTAACATGCTTGTTGTCATGGATTCTTATCAATTAAATTCACCAAAACACTAAAAGATGTACAGACTATGCTTATACTATGACTGAGATAATAAGCTCTTAAAATAGTGTCTGGCACATAGTATAAAGCCGACAGCTTCCAATTACAGTTACTTCTATTTATTACTAATATGAAAAAATTAGGCAAAATTGGCCAAAATCCTTCCTCACTTCACCAAATTATGCTGCATTTAAGGGAAATTCAATGTGTAATTGAGGTGGAAAGAAGAACAATTTAAGCCTATGATGTTTTGTAACACAGACACACGTAGAAAATACATGCCATGTATTAGATATAAGATGCCCACATTCAATATCAAATTTTCAATGAAACCCATGTAATGAATAAACCAATGGAAAGTTCAAAAGAAAAATATTATAGCCTAATGAGATATCGGAAGGGACTACAATAGTAACAATGGTAAAATAGGCAATACTGAAAATCAATTTCAAAAGAAATACATAAATTAGCATCTCAGTGGATGTGGACTGTAATAAGATACAGCTTTTACAACTCGCAAAAGATGGCTGCCGTCTTGCATAAAGGCAGTGAATCTTTGTGGAAGGCGGCAGCTCAGTCTGCGCATGCACTGCGATGTACAGCTCCATATGCATACACAGCTATGAGAAGTATTTATTGAACATGTATGTCAAATGTCACTGAAGTGATGTTACCAGTAGTCTTTTGGACTTGAAGACTTTTAGGCAAAAATCAAAGATTAATTCAAAAGTAAGCTCTGTGTTCCAGTAGGACAATATGAAACTTCCAGTTTCCAGGTTTCACCTTCAGTAACTTTCAGTAATTCATCATAAATGTGCCAAGCTATGATAATTTAGTTCGTAATAGCTGTTTACACGTCACTTTGTGACTTGCAGTTAGAACTTACCTTGCTCCAGAGATTTACATCCATATTCCTGCAGAGGGCAGCAGAGGATTAAAAACACAACAAAAACCCAGGTTTAAAAAACAATTTAAGTTACAACGGTTACAATACACTAGGAATTCTTTTATGCACATAGGATGCAGAAATAAAATCTTAAAATTTTTGTTTTTCAGTCTTAAAACCAAGCTAAATCTTCAGGACACAGTAATTGCAAAGGTTGACCCTCAAACCCACTTCAAACCATCGAAATAAAGACTGATATAGGCAAAACTAACGAGTAACTCCTAAATCTAAGGGTCTGCATTTGATCAGGGAAGGCTACTTGCATGGCCACAAGGTGGCTGCCATGGAATGCGCTGTCCTCGCTAACTCTGTCGTGGAGAAATCGACTCCCACCTTGACTGAGGGATCGTCATGATAGGGCATCACGTGCCTTTAGAAAGAAGTCATTCCCGGAGAAGGGCAGAACGCCTCATTCCTGGGGAGGCGGAATCCAAGCCAACCACCGGAAAGGACCACAACAACCATGCTCTAAAACAACTGGTTTGTGTTCTTCAAAAGCATCAGTGCCAAGAAGGACAAAAGCTGGACAACTCTTCTGGATTAACAAAAAGGATAAAGGGAAAGCCTAACAGACGGCTAGCACTGAACTAAATTCTGCACAGGGAGAGGTACTAGTTACCCCATCTTCCCCCAGCTCAAGAGGAGAGCTGATAGCGTTAGAATATGGACTAATATTAAATAAGTAATCTCGTCGATGTTACAACTTCTGAATCTGACAGCTGTAATGTGGTACACAGGGGGGGTCAACCCAACCCAACCGCTGCCAGCCAGCTGATGTCACTCAGGGCGACCCTAGAGGACGGAGCGGCACTGCCCTGGTGGGTTTCTGAGGCTGTCAATCCTTACGGAAGCAGAAAGCCTCCTCTTCCTCCTGTGGAGGTGCTGGTAGGTCTGACCTCCATCAGTCCAACATTACCCACTGTACATCCAGGACTCTTTAATGGTGGTTATGCGATGTAAAAAAAAATGATGAGGAAAAATGAAAAAATAATGGATTTCCCCCCACAAACTTTTAACCACCTCCCCCCCTCATCTTCACAACCCGCAAACATTCCAAGGCTCTTTTGAACTTAAAGTTGGATAATTTGAGGCAGATAGAGAATTGTGATGAAGGAGATTAACGGGGCACTTATTTTTACTTTTAAGACATATATGGAAGGAACTACTGATTGGCGAAACAATCCAGATGAACTTCAGGGCGATTATGCTGCGTGAAAACAAAGCCAACCTCAAATGACCACACAGGTGTGAGCGCATTTTCAGGACATTGCACAGTGACAAAGCTACAAACACAGGAACGCGCCAGTGGTTGTCAAGGGTCAGGACTGCTGCCAGGAGCAGGGGTGCGGGGGTAGAGGCAGCACAGGGGAATAGCTGTGACACATGGAAAATGGCGGAACTGAACACACACACCATGCTAATGCCAGAGGGCTGGTTTCGATCGCGTGACAGTTACACAGATGTAATCAGTGGAGGATGATGGTGAAGGATAGATAGGCAACCTGGATTCTCTCTTTGCAGCTTTCTGTGACTGGATGGCTCTACTCCCTCAAAATCAAATCCATTGCTGCTGGGTTGATTCTGATGCCTAAGGGTCTCAAAGGACAAGCAGATCTGTCCAAAAGGTTTCTGAAACTGGGACCTTGACGAAAGCAAGCATCTTTCTCCCACTGAGAGGTTCAAATCACCAACCTTTGGGTTAACATGTGAGCAATGTTAAAATGAAATGAAAACCTATATATTGAAAAGATGGGTATCTATGACTCTGTAATATGAGAAGACCTTTTACAATGTCAGTAAGATACAATAAAAGTCTGTTAATAAAAAGGAGCCATTAGGGGGGAGGGACGGTGGGTATAGAACCAGTTTTAGATTTCAGATTTCAAGCTAGACACAGTTGCAATTCCCAGGAATGGCAGTCAGTAGGTACCTACCACAGGGGAAACAGGGAGAGAAAAAAGGGAAATCAAAGCGTTAGTAAGGAAGCAAGAGGCCAACGTCCTCACAACTGCACCAAGAGGTGACATCATGATAAATGGAGAAAAGCCTGACGTGGCCAAGGTTTTCATCTTGCTCAGATTCACGTTCAATGCCACAGAAGCAGCAGTCGAGGGCTCAAGCAATGCATTACACTGGGTAACTGCCGCACAAGCCTTCTTCACAGCGTTGAAAAGCAAGGGATGTTATTTTTGAGGACTTAGGTGTGCTGGCCCAAGCCCTGTGTATGTTCAAGTGCCTCATAAGCATGTGAAAGTCGGGCACTGAATACGAAGAGCAAAGCATCTGAATTGTGTTGTGGGGTAAGACACTGAAAGGGACTATGAACTGCCAAAGGAGCAGATCGATCGATCTGGAAAAAGAACACCCAGAATGCTCCTTCGAAGCAAACGCAGCAAGACTTTGTCTTACGTACTTTGGGCATGTGGTCAGGACAGACCATTCCCTGGAGAAGGGCATCGTTCTCGGTAGCGGAAGGCTCTGAAAGAGATGGACTGACACCCTGGCTGCCACAATGGTGAGCACACAGCAGGACCAGGCGGTGTTCCCTTCTGTTGCTTGTAAGGTCTCTATGAGTCAGAATGACTCGAGGGCCGTTAACAACCACAGTCATATTGCTGTGCTGTCCTGCTCCCGTTTCCTTGTCTCCACCTTCCTCACACTACACCCCCGGTCCCGCCACACACACACACACACACACACACACACACACACACGAAACTAGACAACAGACATAGATTAGTTTTCCAAAAGCATTAGTATCCGAAGAAAGACTTGGTAAGCATCAAGTAATAAAATGTTATTTTTAAAAAGGAAAATCTAGAGAATTCAACAGATTTTGGAAATGGAAAATGACAACAAGAATTAACTCAATAGAACACAAGTTAAAAAGAAAACAAGTTGCACATAAAGTAGAACACAAAACATTATTAGCAACAGCAAAAATCAAAAACCCGAAAGCCAAACTCACTTGCCCTGGAGTTTCAACCCACCGTAACCCTGTAAGACAGAAATGCCTCTGCAGGTTTCCGACATGAACTCTTTACAGAAGTAGAAAGCCTCATCTTTCTCCTGAGGAGCAGCCAGTGGTTTCAAACTGCTGACCTTGCAGTTAGCAGCCCAATGTGTCACCAATAGGCCCCCAGGGCCCCTCCAGGGTTTTTGGAAAGAAAGACAGGAAAGAGTAAGAGGCAAAGGTTCAAGAAGTTCCAGAAAAAAAGAAGGAAACACCTACAAAATAGTCTACTTCCATGATACCTCCGGTAGAGAAAATAAGACAGTCTACTTCCTTGTTTTCAGTAAAAAACAGACAATGTCAAGAATACAATATTCAGTAAAGAAAGACAACAGACTGCTTCTAACAACTATTTTGCATGTCTGAGGTTACTGATCAAAGAGGTCAACGAAAACATGTGCGGTGAGGAGGGTTATAAATTTCCAAGAGACTTTCTACTGGTCAAGGTGAACAACAATTTAGCACCCCACACAGAGACACAAAGTCAATGTCTGAACATTATTGCTCTTCCCTGTGTCTTACGGCTCATTGTCAAGAACAAGAGCACCCACTTCATTGCTTCTCCTAACTCTAGTGATATTCTAGAGACTTATCCAGTCTGAAAGAACAGAAAGCCTTACGGGCTAGCATTTGATTTGGTGAATTCAAATAGGGCTGTCATCTGGTATGAAGATTTTGAGAATCTGAAGCTTAATTTTCCCCCTTTCTTCAACATATGGAATGTAGCACCCAATGGCACAGTCTCCCACTTGCCACATTCAGAATGATGGCACTGGATCAGAAATTTTTCCTTTGCTAAGCACTACGAAACCCTGCCCACCTCCACATTGATTCTGACAGAAACACTGCTCTCTTTAATGATGAATTTCCCAGGAAAAGCCACACTGGCTCCAGTGACTTTCTGACTCTCAGAAGTGACTTTCCCAGCGGTCCACTTTTCAGTGACACATTCCCCTGTCTGTGACCTAAACTTTGTCTAGTTGATACATGGAGGGGAAAAGGAAATGTATTAATTGCATTGGATTTGACTTAGGTTTCATGACTTTGATTTTACCAGTCAGGTCTAAATCCCTTTGAAGGACTGCTTTAACAGTTTCCAAATGAAAATCCCTTAATAATCTTGAATAACTCATCCTAGTTAGCAATATTGACTGACTTTAAATTATTTTCTAAAGGTGACTTTGCCTGTATCTGTTCATAATAGTTAAATGAATTTATAAATTGAAAAAATCTGGGAAGCATTCCTTTATTCATAGTACCAACTTACAGAAACACTAGTCTGCCACTTAAACATTAATCTCAAAGGGCATGAACAAAGTCACACTAGCTTTTAGTATATACGTATTCAGTGAACCCTCGCCACTTCGCGCTTCGACTTCCGCGGCTTCACTCTATCGCGGTTTTTGCGTTAACAGCGCATGCTCTGTCATTACTGCCACTGATTGGCTTATACTGTACACGCTTCTGTCTGCATCGCTACGTATCGGAGCTACGTATCAGATGCATTTTTGCTTTTGTACAGTGTACTGTAATTGTTTGCGATTTTAAAGAAATTTTATCTAAGCCCTATGATGGCTCCTAAACGAGCTTCTTCTAAGCCTTCTGACAATAAAAATAAGCGCCAGAGGAAGATGCTCACCATGCAGGAAAAGGTAAAACTTTTGGATATGATCAAAGATGGCAAGAAAATCGTGGAGGTTGCACGCCATTTCGACTTGAATGAGTCTTCCGTCGCTCCATCCGTAAAGAGGAAAAAAACACCCGTGCTACGGCTACTTTCACTTTCAACAAGGAAGCAAAGCGCATCGTGACAAGTCGTAATAAGTTCATAGTAAAAACGGAGTCTGTCCTAGCCATTTGGATCAATGACAGGCGCAAGAAAAACATTCCGTTGGATTCAATAGTCATCCGGGAGAAGGCAAGGCAGCTCTATCAGCGTTTTACAGCAGACAAACCTCAACCAGAATCCTCTTCTGCATACTGTAAACTAGATGCCATAAATAATATAATAAATAATAAATGATAATTGTAACGTCCAAAATGTTTTACTGTATTTTCCCTTTTTCGTTTAATAAATTGGGTAATATGAGTGTAATGGTGACTAAAGGGTGTTTTTTCATGTCCTCTATGCTCTAACTATGAAAATATTTGATTTACAAATAAGGAATCCCTCTTCGCGGAATTTCATTTATCACGGTAGGGTCTAGAACCGATTAACCGCGATAAACGAGGGTTCACTGTACTGTGAGAGATCAGAGAAATAAACAGTGACAAATCTGTTGTCGTTTTTTAGATGCTGGACCTACCACTAACAGGCAGGTTATTTTAAAGGTGCTTAACAATTAAAAAGGGAAAAAAGGAAAAAAAATCTCACCTTGATTTCCAGTATTGAAATACATATCCCTTAGATTTAGCTGAAATAACCATCTCATGGCAATGTTGTACAACTATGTTTTGGTAACTATGGATAATTTTTGTCCAGGAGTGGTTTCTGATTCATCTTAGTAACTTTTGGTTGTTTCTGTTCTAATAACTTTTGGCTTGTCTCTGTCTAGTGCTTCTATAACAAATACCCAAAATGGATGGCTTTAACAGAAGTGTATTATCTCACTTGTTAGGAGGCTACAAGTCCCACTTCAGGGCCACCATCTTCATGGAAAGGTTTTCACTTTCTGTAGGTTCTGGGGAAAGGTGCCCATTTCTGTTCAGCATCTGTGACCTGGGCATCCCTTGGAGATCGCTACGTGTCTTCCCTTCCTGGGTCTAGGAGGCACTTTGTGAACAGCAGAAGCCACTGATTGTTAACGGGTTCTCCAGGAAATCTGTGCTCCATAACATTTCAAGTATCCTTCCCATCTTCAACAACTACCATGGCATTAATCACCGACCTGCTGGAAACACTTTCAACCTTGATTGCCACCGAATAATATCAAAGGAAAATATATAGATATCGCAAAACCAAGAATACAGCCCAAAGTGAACTTATTATCTTTCCATTTCTCTTCAAGTTCTACCCCGTGTTCCTTATCTTGCTCTGTGTTCTCTCCCTCTTACGTCTAATGTGCACTGTGTCGCGACACCCTGCTCAGCCCCTGCCCGTCCTGGCCCAGCTCTTCCCATCTGGGCAGGCAGCAGTGACCGAAGCAGGCCTGGGCCTCTCATCCCTAGCAAGGCCTACTGGCAAGGTTGGCCTTCACTGACCAGTCAGTCAAAGATCAGCTTCTGAGAGGGTCCCTACCATTTTGTAAATGGTAAGTGACTCACTGTGCCTAAATCATTTGTACAAAAACCATGTGGTTTAGACTAAACACTTACTTGCTTTCTGAAATCTAGGATTTGGGTATGTGCTAGGCAGAAGGTACCTACATGAGTGATTGAAAAAGAAAAACGAAAAGACAAAAAACCTCCTAGGCTGAGGTGAGCTTCCCGCAGGCATCCCATGGCATCTCCACTTGTCCTGGGGGGGATGGAGGCGCCCAGCACAACTCCACTGGCCGGGACTTTGGGAAGTCCTCCAGGGTTCACCCCACGTGCTTTTTCCTGTTGCTTAATAAATCTAAGTATGACTCTGCTGAATCCCACTGCATTTTCCTTGGGAACCCAGTGAGAGGTTTTTCTGAGAAACCTCCAACATACCGGCGGACCTTTAAACGAATATGAACACATTCTGGAAGGTTTCTGTGTCCAGCAATGATGGAGTTTAACAGAGGCCAGATTCACTTCCTACCTTAAAGAACTACCAAATCCGACGTGACAGTTTTTCTCCTTAGACAAGCGGCATAGAAAGAAGGGTTGCCCGGGAAAAGCCCTACAATTGTCTTAGCTCATTTCCTGGCGTTTCTAGTCCTCGGCCTAAGGAAGAAGAACCGAGACCTGGTTCCCTGAGTCGAGAATTCAGATGTCTACACAGTCAGAAGTCGAGACAGGGCAGGAGTTCTGGCAGAGACCTGCCCAGCGGGAGCCGTGGAATCTGCAGGGCGCTGTTCTCAAGACTCCAGCTGAGTGGTGACAATAAGCACATGCCCGTGAACAAACTTCCTGAACTCTAAGAAACTACTTGAGGCCTTTGCAGAGCACGTGAGTCAGTTCCCTGAACACAACCAAGGCTTAGAATACCGCTGTTCCTACCCATCTCCAAACACACAGGCGGAGAGGGCTGGATTAGCGAGGCCAACCAGAGGCCAATGGCTGCTTTACTTAAAACCCATCAGTGGAAACACAACTCTTTCCAAGGAACTGAACTCTGCCTCGGAACAAAGCTTAAACATAATGAAGAGAAAACGAAAATTATTAATAAATCCAGCATCGAACTTCATAAAGTCTACACTATCTGGCATCCAATCAAATAGCGCCAGATAGGCACGATGACCCACGATGAGAAAGAGACCCAGAACTGACACAGGTGATGGAACTAGAAGACAAAGAGAGTAAAAGAGATACATATATTGGCATTGCACACATTTAAAAGTCTTGAAGAGAACATGGAAACACCCAGAGGACAAACCACTGAGTTTCCCAAAGCGAACAACAGTGTCCGAGATGACGATGCACTCTACATGCTCTCTCTGCACCCCGCACCCCACTTTCTGCACAATAAAGACCAAGGTTTCTTACGTTATTTAAAATGGTTCCCAATCTGATCCCAACCAGCATCTCCAATCACAATGACTAAAAAGAAATTAATGAAATAAAAGAAATCCTCAAAAACAGAGGCAAATGCAGAATAAAGAAAGCCTCAATCATTAATATAGGAAGCACTTAACATGATCCAAGTACTATTCTCGGTGCTGGGGAGAATGCAGCAAACTAAACATGAAACTTGTATCCCTTTAACTAGATCCTCAATCAAGAAATAAAACAGCTAGAAAAGACATTTTTAGGACTACAGGGAGAATCGAGTGGGAGAAAGGGGGCTTTCTACTCATTAAGATTTACCGCCTCTGGAACCTCACAGGGGCAGTTCTACCCTGTCCGACAGCATTACTATGATTCAGAATCAACTCAATGACTGTTTGGTGAGGGGTGGGCAAAGTGAATTGTTTAATGTAATTCTTCTAGTTAAAGTCTCTAACTCCCACCCAATGACCTTTCCCTGCTTGGGTCTGGTAAGGTGGTAAGAGAAAATCTGGATAGGATTCACCTGCAAACAGGATTCCTTGCCATGCCATCCTGCTGTGTATGAAATGAGCCCTCTGAGAAGCAATAATGGGGATCTCATTACCAGCAAGAGCTAGGAGGGAGGAACATCCTCAGGACCCCCAAGATGCCTGTGCAGTGACCCTCCTGGATCCAGAAAGCAGCTGTACCATCAGAGGAGCAGCAGCAGAACCAGGAGCCAGAGCAGGGAGCAGGGTGATGGACTCCCCAACCCAAGGAGCAAGTTGAGTGCTTCTGTGTAGGAAGCTGGCTTGCTGAGTGGGTTGCCTCTGGCAACTGAATTGGAGACGCTGGGCTTGCTGACCCACAGAAGTGGGGCTGAGTGCCTTTGGGCTGAGGCTTACTGCAGTGGGCGCCTCTGGGCACTTACTTCAGGGAGCTGGGTTTGCTGGCCCACACAGCTTGAAGCGATTGCCTTCGGATTAGGGCTTTCAGCAGAGTGGTAGGCCCTTTCAGTATTTATTAGCAGACTCGACAGCACTTTGTAGCATATCCTTATAAACCATTCAAGCCTGAGTATTTCTCACTGGCATTACAACTTTGTTGACTTCCTTAATAAACCCTTTAATACATTTTGTCTGAGTCCTGGGTAGCCACTAAGTGGATATTAGAACCCAGAGAGGTAAAATAGAGAACACTAATTAAAGCAACCCAGGCAAATCTGAATATGGACAGTATATATTAAATGACATGATAGCACCGTAAACTTTCAGGAGTGATACGGATAATGCGACTGTGCAAATGAAGATGTTATTCTTCAGCGATAGATGCTGAAAGACGCAGGGTCATGGTAGCTGCCTTTAACTTCCAGGAGTTAAGTGCCAAAAGAAAACGTGTGCACTAGAGAAGGGTGCACATGAAATAAAGCAAACAAAGATGGCAAAATATTTTTTAAATCGGTGAAATATGGGTGATATTCCTTGTATTTTTTTTTCGACCTTTCTTTAAAGTTGAACAACCACAAATGAACAGAAGTAGGCAAAAGGAGGTGAGCGTACAATCAACACACAATATTGAGGAGAAAAGCTGAGTGACACTGATTAGAAGTCACCTTGTAATTAAATGTTCAAAGTATACACTCAAATTTGTCTTTTCCTCCAACTTGCCATTTCCAGATGGTGCTTTCTTGAGACAGAACCTTTATCAAATGCGTATATTATTTCTTGGAAAAGACATAAAAGTGGGCCACAAACATTTAAGATATATTGCAATACTCAACTATCAGAAAGAATAAGGCAGATAGGGTTCCATCGGGTAAGCAATATTTTGGAAGATAAAAGCATCTGTATTCTCTCATCTAGTACAACCGAAAAAAAGAGGCTACAGTGAACAGTCAGGCAAAGAATATTACATAAGGTGATCGATCATCTTACCTCTTAAAGCCTAATATTAGGCTGGCCCTGAAAGAGCTAAATGAAAAGGGCAATGAATCTGATTCCACTGCAAAAGAAAATAAGAGATCATCATTAAATCTCAGGGGAAAAAACAAAACATGCAATTATCAGCTTATTTGAAAATACATTCAAAATCCACGTAATTTTCATTTGGAAGCCTTATATAAAAAATAAAAACACCTCTACACAAAATTAGATGCCATAAAATCTTTACAATACAAACTATCCTTTTAAGATCTTTTTGCTTCGTTGTCATGACTACATAAAACCAATGGACACATACGTTCTTTCATATAAAGACCAATGACTTAACACAGCACACTCAGGAGCCAGCATGACACACATACTGAGGTGCATGCTCATAGGGCATTGTGGGCACTATGAAAGGGCAGACTGTAACCCCTGAGCCCTTTTGTCCTCTAGATACCGCAGATAAGAAAATCTCTTCTCTGTGTACAAGTAGTAGAGTGAGTGATTCTGTGGAACCATCACATTTTTTCATTCACTTTTCTGCTGCAATAAACAATAGTGGCATCTTTTAAGCCTTAAGTAAGTCTTCGCCTCTATTGTGTAATTGATTTAGTAAAGGATAGTCTCTTCTTTAAGGCATTTGCTTGCTCTACTACTCACATTAGCATTTAATAGTCTACTACTTATGCGTTTCAATGCTGACATAGTTTGATTTGCTTTAATGCAAGAATCAGACCTCTCGTTTTCTTGGGCACCTAACCCTGGTCATGATTAGAGCAGACATTTCCTGATTTTCTTTTACTCTAACAGTGTATTAAAGTGACTGAGGTAATCTATTCAGGAGAAATATAAATGGCTACTAAATGAGTCAAGAGAGATGGAATCATTGTAGCGAAAATTTCTGAAAGTAGAAATGGCTTAGCGAAATTTTTGAGGAGCCCTGGTGGCGTAGTGGTTATGTGTTGTACTGCAAACCACAAGGTTAGCAGTTCAAAACCACCTGCTGATATTCGGGAGAAAGCAGACTGTCTACTTATATAAGAGAGTTACAGTTTTACCAACCCACTAGGGCAGTTCTACCCTGTCCTATATGGCCGCTATGAGTCAGAATCGGCTCAATGGTCAAATTTGGTTTTTAGAGGTGAGATTTTACGACAACTGGTTTACTTTTAAAATTTAACTCATGGAAAGCCAGTCATTTAAAGATCGCTTGCTCAAGTCCCCAAAATATATATTAAAAATTAACCCACACAAACAGTGAGAATGGTTTTAGATCTGTTGCTTATTTCTTAAGCAGGAAGCATACCTTTACCAATAACTTTATACCACTGAAAACCTCAAAATTATACCAATTGGCCAGTGCTTAGCCAAAGAGTTTTAAGATGGATACAAATACTTTGATTTGGCTCGATCCAATTTTAGTCATTTCCCATGACTCCAAACACAAGTAGGACAATGCTTGACATTACTCAACAGACTTGATCGAGAGAGGGCATTTGTTCTTCTCAGAAACGGACACTTCTCCTGAAGTCGTAAGCAATACTATTACCTAGAAGCTCCCGACTGAAAATACGAGCAATTAAAGGACAAACTGCTCTTCAAAGACCTGACTTCAGACAGGACTCAGCTGGAGGGTTCGTTAGTATTAGAGGTCCACGTCTTCAAACTTAACAAACACCCTCTTGAAAATGTATTCTTATACAATTTAAAATCATATTTTACAGAAATACTGTCAAGTTTATTGGTCAAAAGGGTGACCAGAAACATCTCAGCAAGCTGGAAGGCTGCTGACAGAAAGCATCTAGTTTCCTTAGCAACAAACAAGTCTGAAAATTCAAGCGTTGACAAGGAAGTGGAATGGATTATACGATCAAAGGAAAAGGCAGCTCCCATGGATGCACCTTCCGTGCCCAGATTCCGCTGCTAATGCTTCTGTTTTCAGCTTGTCAGTATGGAAAATCTATGGACTCTACAGAGTGGAAAGCAAAATCAATACACTGATAGCAGCCATTGATATCAACCTTCAACTCAATTACACACTTGGTCTAACAGTCACCATTTTTCATACTGGTCACCTGTCTCTCCTTTACAATCATATAACAAACATTTTCAAAGGCAGGTACATGAATAATAGTAACAATGACCTGGTCTGTACAAAGCTCCCCTCTATATAATTTGAATAGACATCAAACCTTAACCTTTTTTGAGGGGGATATAAACTGACATGTTCAGTGTCATTTTTCACACAAGATCTGAAAAACGGTCAAGTAACACAATGGCTGTGCTCAAGAAAGGAGGGCGTTTAACCTCACCATGTCCTCCTTCCTGTCTAAGTGTGCGAAATTTATTAACATGTGATAAGGGAGATAGAGCAAGCCCCCCAGCTTATAACATTTTGTTTTAAAGCGGGGGTGAGGCTGGAAGAGAACTTCATAAAACTTATTATGATAGGCATTAGTTTAGAAAGCACTTTAAGAAACATCATTTTCACAACAACTCCATGGTAGAAGGTTAATAAGTACCACCCTTGTTTCATTAAACAGACTTGTTCCCGTAACTCAATCATAAATAGGACCCAAGTCACCTGGGTCCCAGTCCAACTTCTACCAAGGGTCTCTCAACTTTAAAATTACTTTCAAATTATCATTTCTTTCTTATCAAGTTGGTCTTAACAAAACACATAAAACCCCTGCTTTCATTAAATAAACTTCTATGCCCTCAATAGTACACAGTCAACACCTGTTAAATCGATTGCTAACGTTACATACTTAATGATAAGACAAAGTTTAGGTTCCCATTTAATGCTTCACTTCTCAATTCAGCTTGTGAAAATGTATTGTCGTCTGGCAGACATCCATTTTCCTAGGGATAAAACATAGGTTAGTGACATTCTGATACACTATTTAAATGTCCTACTTTCCCAATTCTCTATATCGCCATATTCTGATCAACTTGCATTTCAAAATGTATTTCCTAGAACAATACATAAAATAAGTAACTGAACATTAGTAAAAGTTAAGGGATAAAGAATTCCAACATTTCAAATTAGCTAGTACCTTCAGTAAAATAAAATTCCAATGGATCTATGTAAAAAGAGTGGTAAGGACAAAACCTGGTTTGTTTGGTAACTCCAGATGATTATTCACTCGTGCTAACATTATCACTGGTTTCATAATAGGTATGCAGGGGCTTCAAAAAGTTTGATTTTCCCACGGCCTTTCTCAAGCTCCCTAAAAGGGATATTACTCGTAACCCAGGGACTACTTGTCTAGCTAATCCAGATACAGAAATCAAAAGGAATCTATGGAATTACATTCATGCATGGAAAGGTGCCAAGCAAAAAATTTAAGTTGCTGAGTAACATGGAGAGTATAATCTGTTTCTAAAATAATTTTCCTTCTTTTATTTCATCAACTGGCAAAGTGGCTCAGGGGCCTCTCCTATAATAATTTCCTAGATACACTCACCTCTGAAAGGACTTACACAGATTATGCAATGATGGCTACCTCAAAGAAGTGTGGAAGAACTGCTTGGTCAATATCATTTTTAGTTCCCAGCTTATCAATAATCATGTATTGTGTAACTTGACAAAATATACATATATTACTCACAAAAATTTAATCCACTATATCCACATATAGTTCACAGCAACCGCGTACCAGCACTGTGAATTTTTTTTTTTTTTTTTTTTTGTTTTTTTTTTTTATTGTTTTATTAGGGCCTCATACAACTCATCACAATCCATACATACATCAATCGTGTAAAGTACGTTTGTACATTTGTTGCCCTCATCATTCTCAAAGCATTTGCTCTCCACCTAAGTCCCTGGCATCAGCTCCTCATTGTTCCCCTCCCTGCCTGCTCCCCACAGCACTGTGAATTCTATGAAGCATTTAACAGAAGTGCCTCCAAAACAACAGTACATAATACTGAAATCAGGGCAACGGAGACAGAAGTAGCTGAGAGCAAATGTAACAAAATTTAAGACAGTCTCATATTAGATCTAGTTCTCTCTAAGATAAGTCCCTGCTGAGAAGCCCTGAAATCCTGGATTATATTTCTAAAAAGAAAAGAACACATTTGGAAAATTAAGAAAATATAGAAAGTTATTCTTTCATTAAAAAAAAAAAATGAACCGAATTCTGTATAGCACCAGCTCAAAATATTCCTCTCCGTTCTCCGGAAGAGATAAAGACATTTCAGACATTAACCCCACTTTTAAGAGGATTATAATTATTTGAAAGGACGAACGGAACACTCTAATAATATCAGTAAAATGGAGGCATTGCTTGAGTAAGCACCTAGGGAGCTGATCTTTGGAACAAACCCTTATTTGGTTCCTGCCATGTCGTTCCTAATTACACAGCTCTTTGCCTTGTAGCACATCCCTCACTGAGCACAGCACCGCCCAAGCCAGCTTAACTATGCTGGTCCGGACAAAAAGTATTTGGTGGGGAAACAATGTTTTGCAATCAGATAAAATATTAAGACCAAAAAGGATATGGGGTAACAAATATACGATGATTTCAATTGGTTTTTTTTAAACACACTAAAAAGCAATAATCAAAAAATGAAAATGAAATGGCTTGAACTTTTTTTTTTTTTAAGAGGAAAGTACAATTGAAGTGGACTTGGGTGTCTTTGGTAACAGGTTCGTATGAAACAAGAAGAAACAAGAAAAATGCAGCTGCAGTGTGAGGTGGGATGCCTATTATTTTGGTTCTTTTATTTAAGGAGCCCTGGTGGTGCAGTGGTTTGGCGGTTCGAAACCACTGGAAGCTCCGTGAGAGAATGAGAGCTTTCTACTCCTATAAACAGTTAGTCTTGGAAACCCACAGGGAGTCAATATGGAGTTGTCAGCACTGACTCAATGGTCATCAGTTTGGTTTTGTTTATTGTTTTACATAATTTTTTCCCTGATATTGGCATGTTATCTTTTCAACACATAAGAAAACTCCTTTTTAAAGTTTAATCAGTACAGATATTACCGTATCATATATCTTTATTAAGCTTTTTTGTTTTATTCTGTTAAAGGAGGCAGCGAGGGTGGGTTGTTTATTTTGGGGCGTTCACTACTACACATTAGGAAGAAAAGAAATTCTCTTCAATTATGAAATTAAAGCCAAACTTTTACACTCACCTGCAAAATAGCACGTGCTGACTTTATACTATCAAAGGATGGAAATACATAATTTATGTATGTCTCCTGATCAGGATTTACTCCCATTTCCTGCATTCCTTTAAGGACTTCAATTATACCTATAATAGAAAACATGGAAACACTGAAATGAAACATTTGTGATACATCAGCAAAAGATCACAAACTTTGGCTCACTTAAAATGCAACCCCCCAGTGTAATATAAGATACAATAATAATTTATAAATTATCAAGAGTGCATGGGG